GAGGCGGAGGTGCGGGGCCCAATCACATCCGTGACACGGGTTCCCGCAGGGGTCGCACGCAGATACACGTGGGGGACAAACGCCTCTGGTCACGCTGAGAGCCTCCGGGGTGACCGTGAGGATAACTCCTCACGCAGCTGCCCTGGTGACAGGGGTGTGTGACGCTGAAGGGAACCACTCACCGGTCCTTCGGACCTGAGGACCCCAGGAAGTGAGGATCACATGGAAACAACTCTAGGCTCCGGGAACCTTAAACAGCCCCCGAGGAGGGGCCGCCGTGTCCTCGGGACTGTATCTGTCCCCGCCTTCAAGGAGGCAGGCCACCTCTTGAAGACGGGGAGGAAAAAATATTGACTCGGATGTAAAGGGACAACTATTTTGAAAAGCCAACGGTGGGAATGGAAAAAAAATCCTCCCTAACATTTTAAAATGCCTTATATACTATCAAAGGAAATTATCTATTATCCTGAAGTGTGCACTTGATTGAGTGTACTTGCAGAAGCATTTGGAGAATTTTAGAACATCTTAAAAAAAAACAGAAGTGGAATAACGGTGTACATGAACGCAATATTATGTTTGAGACAGAAAATGCCAAAGACACGTGCCTGGGTGCTGATAGTAATGCTCCCTCTCTCAAGCTCTCAAAATCACCCGGCAAAAACAACAAATCCACGAGCGGGGGAGAAGACCAACATTACCATCTTTCTTTAAGACCTCACTGCATACCTTGTAGACAATTTCTTCTTTATACCAACACAGAGACACATTCCTCAAAAGCAGGTTCAAAATTTAGAGAAGAAATGACCCAAGAATTAATTAACTAAATAGGAGAATGAAGTAAACAAAGGAAAAATTATCATCAAAATAAAAGACAAGAAACACGATTAAATTAGGCTTCAAAAGACCCGTGAGAAACCCATAAAAGGCGTAATATGCATTTACCTGGTTTTTATTCTTTCATGATTTAATTTCTAATTTTATTCACTACCATCTGATAATTGCATGAAACACTTATGCTAACCATGGGCAATTTAAACTGTTTTAATTTTTATTTCAAGGCCATGAGACAAAGGAACCTATTTATTGCCTAAGGGGATTTTTTTTTTTAACAAAAATTAAAGCTTAATCTTTCATGTTTTAAAGCATGGACTGTTCAAAATAATTTATAATAATGCTGTAGGGAGACTGTGCCTGGGTATGCAAAACTGAAATGCTAAATTTACAATTATTAAAAAAAATTAATAGTTTGGGGGATTGACCTGTCCCTTTCAAGATGGGATTGGTCTGAAGTGTAGGGGACAGCTTTAAAAACAGGGTAAAGCCAAGGCCTGTGCGGGACCCCATGCGATGGGGCATCAGTGCATTTCACAGATGGACTGGACTGCTAGTGGTACATGATGACAGGTCCTGTTTTTTATTATTTAAAAATAAATAATGGCATTAGCCTTGAGAACTACTTCATACACCTTTCATTTCATAGAAAATTGCTCTGATGAAGTGGGGGGTCATGAATTCTACCAGCCACATTTTCTGTGACTCGGAAAAAGTCCCTGGTGGAAATTAGAGAAATAATTTACTTTCACTTAAATGCCAGATTTTTTTGGTTAACTTAAGAAAAATAATTGACATGTAGATTTAAAATTCTTGCTGCTGCTACAGGTCAGGATTCTAATGAGATACTTTCAGCTGTTAAGCAAAGCATTGCTCAGTAGAGGGGAGAAAAACCACTTTCAATGGTGCCCCAGCAGAACTTAGGGAAGGGCAAAACGCCTCTTTGAGAGCAAAGGTAAGGACACTTTGCTGTGGGGAGGAGGGAAACAGATCTCAGGACACATTTTCCCTTTCGTTAAGAGCTCAGGAAAAACCTGAAAATGGTCAAATGTGTTTAAAGTTCCTTAAACACACAGGCCATCTTCCTCCGCTGTCTGAGTACCCCCCACTGGAAAAAGGTTCCAGCGTCTTTGAGCGGCTGACCCTACTGGATGGAAAGCACGTGAATCCAGGGACATGGAGGCCCCCCCCCCCGCCGCCGCTGCCCCCAGCACCATGGCTTCCTTGCTGGTGAGTGATGGTGCCAGTGCCCTCCCACCTTCTCGCTTGCTTGCTCTGTCTTCACCTGAATGCTCCTTCCCTAGCGAACCAGGCGGCCTCCAGCTCCCTTCACTGTCCACCACGGTCGGTCTGGTGTGTCCTCACAGCACCGCCTGGCCTGGCATATATGGGGCGTGCTGACCTGCTTGTTGTCTGAGATCCCCGAACCAAGTGGAAGACTCCTGAGAACAGGGGGCACGTCTGCTCTGCTCCCCGCCCCCCCCGGCCCCCCTGCACCCGGGCCAGGGCCCGACACCAGACAGCCCCTCATAGCTGGTATCTCTCAACTCCGCTGTCTACACTGACCAACTCATGTCCTGTGTGCACTTGACTTCTTAAACTGACAAGTCTTCTTTTAAAGAACGAAATGTTCAAATATTAGTTCTGATTCCCCAGAGCCAAGGCATATTCCAGCCCAAATATCACAATGGGAGAACATATCCTAATAAAGCCAAATGAACTCTCACAAGCAAACAACAGGCCACGTATCATTAGCCAAAATATCCACTTATGATAATGGTCCATCTCTGGAATGGCAGAACAATTTCTATGTCACTACAATACTCAATATATCAAAGTTAAAGACTTTTAGGGCTGATGGTCCAAACTGTAGGCTAAATGGCCCCTTGACATTTAAGGACAAATTTTCTTTTTTTCCCTACTTTATTACCAATAATTACCAATTATTTCCTACTTTATTCCCTTTATTATGATGTGGTCAGCTTCTGCTGCTTACTCTTGATAAAAGGAAGAGAAGATGAAGACCAAGGTTGGAAAAATTATAATTTACTTTTGCCAAATATGGCTAACACTGATTTGCCTTTTTTTAAAAAAAAGCTACTAATCCTCTTTATTTTTATATAAGCAAATAAAAAGCAATCAGGTTATAAATGACTTTTAATTTCTTTTCTCTCCAAGTAAAACAGTTAAAAACATCAGCTTCTGAAACAAATAATGCAACATATGTTAAGAAAAAAGAAAAGAAGATAGCAGGAGGGGAAGAATGAAGGGGAGTAAGTCGGAGGGGGAGACGAACCATGAGAGACGATGGACTCTGAGAAACAAACTGAGGGTTCTAGAGGGGAGGGGGGTGGGGGGATGGGTTAGCCTGGTGACGGGTATTAAAGAGGGCACGTTCTGCGTGGGGCACTGGGTGTTATGCACAAACAATGAATCATGGAACACTACATCAAAAACTAATGATGTAATGTATGGTGATGAACATAACAATAAAAAAATTTAAGGAAAAAACCCACCAGCTTCTGACTAAAGATACAATAAAATGGGTGTATGATACTTTGTGCTTTTTTAATGTAATCATTCCATAGTCCCCATAGGGGAGATAAACGTCCTTATTTAAGAAAATGCTTTTCAATCTGATTTATAAAAAAGGTAAATCAGCGAGGTCAAATGTTTAACTTGCTTTTAGGAAGTCACTACTATCTTTATAAAGGGGAATTTATGTCAGAGATGCCTATTTCTTTTTTTCTTTTAAGATTTTATTCATTTATTTGACAGACAGAGAAAGCGCATGCATAAGCAGGGGAAGCAGCAGAGGGGGAGGGGGAAGCAGGCTCCCTGCTGAGCACAGAGCCCAACACGGGATCGATCCCAGGACCCTGAGATCATGACCTGAGCCGAAGGCAGATGCTTAACCGACTGAGCCACCCAGGTGCCCTGAAAAATATCTATTTCTTAAACAGGGTCATTGGAGGATTTACTTAAGTAACAAGTTTATGTACTGCATTAGAGTTGTGACTTAATTTGCTGGGAAAAAACCCAAACAGCTGAAAGTTGGTATTTTGGAAATACCATCTACTTTGCCAAACAAGGCCCGCACATGGTAACGGTACATTTTGGAAGACATTTTAGAGAACCAAGTCAACACAGCTCTGTGCTGCTGCTGGGGAGGACAGGGCCGTGTACGACGAGTCCCCTCGGCCTCTCCTGAATGTCTCTGCGGCGTGTCTCTGCAGCCTGGACTCAGGGAAACGTGTGCCATACCCAGGGTTTCATCACCAAGCCACAGGCTTGGCTTCTGAGGGGGGCACAGGCTCCCCGGGAGGCCCCACTCCTTCCTGTGGTCAAAAGCCTTAAGAAAGCCAGCCTGCCATGTTTTTTGGGTTCTCCTGAAAGCGAGCCCCGCACTGGCCCACGGGAGTTTCTTCAACAGCCCGCTAGTGCGCTGGGCAGAGCCGGCAGAGGGCCGTGGGCTTTGCAGGGCTGGGAGGGAGCCCGGCCAGGGCCCGGCAGTCCTCCTCCATGCACCCGGGGGCGGGGGGAGCCTCATCTATCAAGGCCTAGAAAATTGAGAGAGGAAGAAAAGCCAGCAGAACGGTTTTTAAGACACAAATCATGGTATCTAAGCAACCACATTATGTCTGGCTCGGATGAAAAGAAAAATGGCATCTGGTTTTGAATAAGGCGACAACATTTCCGAGGAGAAAGACTTTAAATTGCATCGCCCAGAAGGCGACCGGGAGCCAACAACAACGATGGTCCTCTCTAGACTGTGGGCTTTGAAAGCAAACGGGCAGGGGCAGGACGGAGCGGCTTGGAAAACAGGATGCCGGGATGACTAGCGATGTTGAGACGCGGCAGAGAGCTCCTGAATGGCTAAGGACCGCGACAAAGAGAGCCGCACACACAGGAGGGAGAGAGGGAGGCCCTTCCTGGAGGCGCCCGCTGGAGCGCTGGCCGGAGCGGGCGGGGGCCGGCCACCAGCTCGGTGGTGGAGTCCCTCCCAGAACACTCTCTTCCTTGTCTGCCTCGGAAAATCAAACGCACAGGCCTCGGCGCTCCGGGTCTTTAGGGAACTTCACGCGGGTCCAGTCCCCCCGCCCTCGACGCCCGCAGCCCGCGCTGGGCGCCGTCCTCCCCATGTCCCCAGAGGGAGGGCACCCCCTTACCGGGACTGGTGAGGGCTCCCAGGGCACTGCTCGTGGTGGACAGAGGGTTTGCATTGGTGGTGGTGGCTGAGGTCTGGGCCGCGGCCGCGGCGGCCGCCAGCGTTGCCAGGTTCTGTAACTGCAGAGCATTCATGCCTGTGGAGGGAAGAGAAACGCCACCTTAGCAAGAGGCCCGCTTGGCCGGGCTCCAAACATGAGGGCAGCCGGCGAGAGCAGGGGCCCCGGGCAGCAGGCCCTGCGAGGGCACGCTCTGCCCAGCTGCCTTGGTGACTCGGGCGCCCCCGTGCTTCCCAGCGGAGCCACCTACTGCATGCCCGGCTGCCTGTCCGCACCCAGGACGCGTCCCCGACCGCCCCCTCCCAGGGCCGTGGAGATCACTGGGAAAGACGAGGAAGATTCTGTGTGCGCCCTGGCCACGCAGCTGTCCGGAAACCGTGAGCCGGGGGCTGGGTGGCTGCAGGACGGGCCGCCGGGGAAGCCCACTGCTGGCACCGAGAAGGTTAAAAGCTCCTGCTCTGAACTTGAATTGCTGTGGCTTCCTGGTGCTGCTGCTTTACCAGCTGTGGAACTTGGGGCGAATGGCTTCCTCTGGTTTCCTGCTTAGTGAGCGGCACCATTCCCTGCTGCTCACCCCCAAGGGCAGGTGCAGCTTAAATGAGATAAAGAACGCAAACCGCTTAGCACCGTGATGGGCACAGCGTCAACACCCGTGTTAGCGACTCTTACGGATGTCCTCTCTCCACACCTACTGTAAATGTGAACCCGAAAATGTGACCATGATAGGAACTCACAAAACATCTGAGGAATAAAAAAAGGAAGGAATAAAAACAGCAATGCTGTCTATTTTTATCTGTAAAGTGCCTGTATTTGCATTTTCCTGTTTTAAAGAAGGACCGCCTTTAACCAGAATCGATCTCTGGCTAGTGAAAATGAAGCAAAGAACAGCAAAGAGAAGTGAAACTTTGCAAGAACACGAGGGTGGGGGACCAGCTGAGCTCTGGGGGTGTCACCTGTCACGGGGAGGCTGCCTGGCCTGGGGGGGGGCTCGGGGGTGGTGCCCGCATCGCCTCCCCACCTCTGTTTCGCAACCCAAGGCTCTCTGAACATTCAGTCTTTGTCCATGATTCTCTCTGCACAGGTCTCTCCCTACACAGAGGAATTTTATACAGAAAGATACTAGTGTTAAGTAATCCGCTTAATTTTATTTTCTTCTCATGTCTCAAATCCAGGTACTTAATAAATGCCTACTGAGAAAATTTAATCTGCTTTAGAGAGGCTAGCCAGATCACGGCTTCCTTCCGTGTTGGGGGTGGTGGTGGATGGAAGGGTGAGAGAACGTTCTAGCAACATACCTGTGAAAGCCCCTAGCCACGGGCGTGGAGCCCTCCACCTGAGCATGACTGGGAGCACAGCTGCTAGGCTCACTGACCCTGCTCCTCCAGTCTGGCTCAATCACAGGTCACTTCTACTCAGCAGAGAGCTCCTGATATTTTTGCTGCAAAACGGCTCCTCATTTTGCTCAAAACGACACTCTGTCTTCTTCCAGGAGACATCCAGCCTTCTTGGCTTAGGGGGCAAGCCAAACACCTGTTTTTCAAAACCCACTTAGGGCCTGGGGATGCTTCAAAGCAGGACACAAGTTTTTGTGGAATCCTGCTAACCTCTGCAAGGAAAGTGCAGACTTCCACCAACCCTGTTTTCTCCAGTTAACGCAACTGGAGTGAGGAACCAGTTCCCAACCCCGGCCCCCCACATTTCTGCTTCTCTTGATGCAGAGGCGTCCCTTCCTTCACCCTGTCCTGTGTGGCCAGGGCCTGGGCTGCACAACTTTCTCTGTTAGTGACTAAGAGCCACGATTTCCTAGAGGCCATGCCTCGACAGGGGCGCCCATGGTGCTGAGAAGTAGAGCAGGTGCCAGGCAGGCTTCTCATGCTTCACACGCGCTCCCTTCCTTAGTGTTCGTAACAAACCCGTGGGACCAAGTCACTCGTGGCCCTCTCCACACCACAGGCAGAGAAGACAGAGCCCGGACAGGTCCAACCCTGGGGAAGCAGAGCCTCTCACAGCGAGCCCGGCCTCTCCCTGCCACCGAGGCCTCCCCCCGAGTGCTCCTTCTGGCCTTCTGGTTCCACTGCGGCTCTTCTTCCCTCCTCTTCCTCAGGGCGCTTGCTCTCCACTTACTTCACTCAATTCTGCACCCTGAAATTTAGGGGGCATGGGGTGCAAGAGAGAAAGGGTGGTGAGCACAAGACTTCCGAAGGAAACGTGCCCAGGGCATTCGCAGTCCACGTTAACCAGGTCTTCCCACTGGCCACCGCGGCCCAGTGCACGTCCGACGGCGGGCACAGGGGGAAGCTGCAGGGGGACGGCCGAGCCCGGCACCACCAGGCCTCAGTCCCGCCTGCCGGCCGCCCCGGATCTGACGTGCAGCCTTCTCAGTGCTCCCTGCTTGGTTCGGGGCTCGGGTCCCCAGGAGCAAGGCCCGGGTGCGTGGTCTCCAGCGGGAGCTGAGAACGGAGTTAGCCAGGAACCGGGCCACACCTGCGTCCTGCATCTGGTTCTCTAAATCACAGAATCGATCCTTTAATTTCTTTTTTTTTTTTTAAAGATTTTTATTTATTTGAGAGAGAGAGAATGAGAGATAGAGAGCACAAGAGGGAAGAGGGTCAGAGGGAGAAGCAGACTCCCTGCTGAGCAGGGAGCCCGAAGTGGGACTCGATCCCGGGACTCCAGGATCATGACCTGAGCCGAAGGCAGTCGCTTAACCAACTGAGCCACCCTGGCGCCCTCGATCCTTTAATTTCTTAATGTGATTTCCTTTTCCACCCATTACCAGAATCCCCAACATCACAGATCACCAGTTCCAGATTCCTCGAGGGACAAATAGGCCGTGACCTCCTTCTGGTGAGGACCGAGCATGTTGCAGGGCTGTGTCCCTCCTGCGCGGTCCTCAGCTTTACTCAGGGTTCTTAACCGCAGTCCCCCAAGGGGAGGCCGGGGGGCTGAAATCACGTGAGAAGCATGTGTAGCTTGGGCACCACGTTCCTGGTGAGAGAGCCTCGAGGTGAAGCAGCTCCCACCTACCAAGGGGCATGAGTCCTGGCAGAAAATCATCGAGCTGGAGGCTGGGCTCGGGCAGCGGCTGTGCCTGGGGTGGAGTGGGGGGTCCGAGGAAACCTGGGCTTGGAACGGACTGTGCGGAGGAAGGGAACCGAGGACAGAAACAGCTCTAGCTCCTGTTCTGAAGACGGATGCACAAACAAGACCGTGCAGGGAAGCCAGACGAGCCAGGGACTCTCCCAGAACTTCCAGGCTGAGGCTGAACCCCAGGGGCACGCACACTGAGCTGGGACCCAGGAGCCTAAGGCAGCGGGTCAGCCCCCTCTGCAGGGCTCACTGTGGGCTGGCCACGGGGCAACAAGGCTACCACTCCCTGCGGCGTGGCCTTCTGTCCAGGCCGACGGAGGCCCAAGGCTGGTCCTCTAGTGTGTCCCTGCGGGAAAACAGCCTCCCATGGGGGGTGAGGGCCTTCTAAATGCTGCTGGCCCACCACCCTGGTCACAGGGCCAGTCCTGGGGTATGCCGAGCCCCCGACAAGTTCCCCTGGGGCACAGGGATCTGGACCCTTCCCTGCCAACAGCACACAAGCCTGGTGGCGGATGCTCGGCTCTCCCTGCCCCCTGCTGTGCTCCCACAGCCAGTGTGGACATCACACATACTATCGGTCCTATTGAGGGAAGGGCCTTGGGGGCCCATGCTGCTTCCAGAAAAGCCGCCTGCCCCGGGTAGGGACAGCAGCCCCGTAGCTACGCACGTGAGGCCCTCGATCCTCTCCCTCTTCAACCACACCGGACCGTCTGTGGCAACTCTGGTTCTCCGACGTCAAGCATTTGCACACTCAACCACACTGGCCTCCTCTGGGCCCGGCCAACACTGGTGGGGCTCTCTGCATCCCCATTTCGGTTCTTTCCTGTCGTTCTCTTGTGTCTTTGGGGTGTGTGAGCCACCCTGTTCCTTCCTCGCTCAGCTCCCTTCATGGACCCTCTGGGTCATCTGCCCACCGGTCACCCTCTCCGTCACCCCCGCACGGCGATCTGGAGGGGGCGCCAGACGGAGCGGCCTGGCCAGGGAGCTGGGCCCCAAGCCTGGGGAAAGGCGGTCTCCCAAGAAAAGCAACCGCTTTTAACCTCACCAAGCACTCTGCTCCGAGGGGCGTCACAAAAACCAGGGGCAACAATCTGGGTGACTAGAAATACAAAACATTTAAATACATTTTATGAAATCCTACAGCGTGCCAAGACCAAGATGGTAAAAAAAAAAAAAAAAAAAAAAAATTGGGAAATATAGGCATTCAACTTTTCATTCATTACTTGGGAAAAGAAAAATCCTTCTCCAGACGAAGAAATGATGTACAAAACAGATGTGCAATATGCCTACTTGAAATTTAAGATTTAAAAAAATTATTTGTAAGGAGAAGGGCATGAAAATTTAATTTAATGTTCACCTTAGGTAATTTTGTGTCTTATTGTTCATAGCAATTACCATAAATCTGCATATCAATAAGCGAGAACAGATGTCAGTTGTTACAAGTGCTTGCCAATCAGGTCTGTTAAAAAGTGACAGATGGGTGGTTATGGAATGTTCTCATAAGGCCTATTAGCACATTCGCAGTGAGAGGGTGGGAGGCTCCGCTCCAGGAAGGCCCGGGGATGATCTTCGTGAACCCAGAGCCCCCACCTCACGACTCAGGTGCCTCCAGGCGCGGAGACCCTCAGCCCTCCCCGCGCACTGGCTCCTGCAAGGGTCTCCCCGTCTTGTCCTCCTGTCCCCGACGTGCCGGGGCGGCCTTCTGGAGAGACAGGATCCCGCACCGAGGAAGGGAGAGCAGCTTTGCTGTTTTGAGCAAAGAACTGTGCTGTACGCTCTCCCTGTCGCTTTTAAAACTTAGGCCAGATTTTCCGGAAGAGAATTACTACCAGCTTTGCTGACTCGGTGGAGTGCAGCAGTTCTGTGTCTACCAACAACACGTAGCTCCGTAAATCGACAGATAAACTCTTCTTCTTTGTTGCTCTGTAAATCTTTAACTTCTTTAAATGACGCCTCCGCGTGCTGGGGGGGGGGGGGAACCAACCCAAAACCTCCCTAACAAAACCCAGCCCACTCTTAACACATGTGCAAGGCCTTACAGAATGGAGGGAGGCAGCTTTCCTGTGTTGCTTCTCTGTGCACCATTTTGGAGCACTCTGCGTTCCTGATCTATGGCTCGGATTTGTTATTTGGCCCGTGAAACCGTTTGCAGAGGAAGGTCACTGCAGTCTGTGTTTGGGCGAACATATCTGCACTTGCTGAGACACGGAGCACCGGTTTATAGCTTTGGCACAGTCTGGAGCTCAGGGTTCGGATGTGCCCAAAATTTGGACCTGCCCCTTCCTGGCCCAGTGACTTGGGGCACGTTTGTGAATGACTTTCTAATCCTCGGTTGCCCCACCTGTGAAGCGGGACGCTTGTGCTCCCTGGGATCTTTGTATCTTGGTCCGCCCTGTGCCCTTGCCCACTGCTGTGGTCTCAGAGTGTTATTATTTAACGCTTTTCTACTTCAGCTTTTTCAACGGCAGTGGAGTAACGAAGTGCAGGTTTTGTCCTTGGCGCGCTGTGAGGATAAACTGCGTGATGATTTCAAGGAGCGCTGTTAAAAACAAAATTGTGAACTAGGACCCCTGCTTATCTATCTAGCGCCGTGCTAGAGGAATGCGGTGAGAAGAGAAACTGATGACCGATAAGTCACTTTTCCCTAATTCCTTCTTCTTTAGGGAAAAAAAAAAATCCAGACTCTTAGCCCAAAGTTTCTGAGATTTCAGAAATTCATGGGACAAATATCACAGTTGAGTGAGAAATGGACAAGTTTTTCTTAGAGGTTTTAAGAGGGAAAATAAAATCAATCAACTTTAAGGATGCGCAGAAAGTATACGTGAAAGCATTCAGCTTCTAAAGATTTGAGCCTGATCTAGTTTCTGCTCTTAAGTTCTATATTCAGTAAAGGTTCCCTTCTATAAAATCACGAAGCACAGGTGAAGTTATTTTTAGTTTGAAAGGGAAATGGTAAATTATTTTGGGGAAACAAGTATAGTTGATGCCTCATTCCATTTTATTGAGACAAATACTTCATGACTTGTCATCAAAAATTTTTCTTTCTTTTTTTGGCTTTATTTTCTGCTCAGACAGAAAGTGTTTTACTCATTCGAATGAGACATTTCAGACTTCAGTGATAAACTTCAATCTCCTGAAGGATAGACTGTTGTATTTTGAGAGCTGTTCACAAAAAATTATTGCTGGTTTCTGAAATGATGTTTCTCTCTCTTTGGTGACAGTGTTCCAAGCCGGACTGCTTGAACTTTACAAGTGGAATTTATTTTATGGCGCCGTAAGACGTAAACACTGCATTTGAATCATGTAGGTGCCCATTTGAATTGTGCCACAATCTCAGCCCCTCAACAAGCATTTTAACTTCAGGTGGGATTTGGGATAAGTGGCCTCTTGGATTTCGTCCTATCGTGTCTACCGGATGTTATGGACCATGCGCTTGGTCACATGTTTGAGTGTACCAACTATTGCCAAATCCTCGACAACTCCACCGTGAAGATACTGTCATTAAGTTTATATAATGTTTCCTTGGCTTAGAAGGTTAAGGCTAAAGTCAAAGTTCTCAATTGATAAAAACAGGGCATTGAACTTAAACATCCCTGGGAATATATCCAAAATATCAAATTTGCATTTGTCGATTTATAAATGGATTCACCCATCCACTCCAAAATAGTCAGTAGCACCTCTCAGCAGGGCCAGGCTGAGTTCCTCTTGGCTTGAGAGTGTTTGAGGAAAGGAAGGAAGGAAGGGCTTTAGGGCACCCCTCCCATATTATGTGGGGTGTCAGGGAAGCCTCCTTTATTTTTTAAAGATTCATTTATTTTAAGAGAGAAAGAGGGAGAGATCGCGAGAGTGAGTGGGGGGGGGAGGGGGGGGGGGGCAGAGGGCTAGAAAGAATCTCAAGCAGATCCTGCACTGAGCACGGAGCCCAGCGTGGGGCTCAATCTCATGACCCTGAGATCATGACCTGAGATGAAATCAAGAGTCAGATGCTCAACTGACTGAACCACCCGGATGCCCCAGGGAAGCCTCCTTCAGAGAGGTACTTCTATTACCAGTTCACTTTATAATACTGGTCTGGATGACTGGCAAAGACAAAAGTTAAGTCCAACTTTGGGAGAGGATGAAAGAGCAGGAGGCCATATAACTTGATTTTACTGGCAAAAAAAAAATACATATAAAATATATAAAAATATTTATAAAAAATAAAAAAATATATATATATATTTATTCCAAACCAGTGTTTCAAATAGGAAGATGAAACTTGATTTTCCCTATGAATGAAGAAACCACCTTTCTGGCAATCGCCAAGCAGATGGAGCCCTGACATCGACGTCCTTGATCTAAACGTTCAAGGTGAGGGTAGATAATGGACTGCTCAGCATTTGATTTCACAGCCTGTGCAGACTTAGTGTGCTGAATTTTAGATGTTGAAGGTTCAAGAACGGGGTGTTTTGGATGGCCCAGAGCATTTACGGAATGCCTTTAAATTCGCCATCTGCTCGATGCACCTTCTAAGGTGACTCCCGGATAGCCTTAGTTTCTAAATGAGCATGCAGACCATGTAAATGCTAACATCCTGACCTGTGGCTGGCAACGCAGAGGAGACCACGGTCTAATGAAAAATGACAGGGCGCTCTGTCCACCCAGGAAGATGCGCTTGGCAGTTGCCTCAGGACCCAGTGACCTTCTCTGCATAATTCAACTGTCAGAGTGGGATAGCCGGAGGCTTCCTCTAAGGAAAGACCCTAATTTTGGATCTGGGTGGGTCCATACCATTAGAAGGAAAAATAAATAAATCTTGCACTGGCAGGAAATATGACAAATCTTCACATTTACTGTAGAGCTAGCCATCTGGAGGTCTTCTCTTTAAAACACAGAGAACTCCCTGGATATTTTACTGTTGTCTCTCCAGTTCCTTTCGCAGAACTAAAAATTCACCATTCCGGGTGATCCTTAGGCTCCAAGGCCAGCTTCCCAAAATGTATTCATAAAGATGCTGCTGAAAGATTGAACTACTTACCATTTTAACATTTATTTTTTCCCTAGCACACCAAAAGCAGTATTACAATAAAACACACTGGCAGTGTCAGGAGATTTAAAGCCCAGTGAATAATTCTGCATTTTTTTTTTTTTTTTAACTGTAGGCCAGTATATTCTGTCAGACGACAGGTTCCCCTTAGCCTGTAGGGCTGTAGGGGAAGGCTGGGCTGAGGATCACAGAACACATGTGAGGACAAAGTCCTTCCAGATCCATTCAAAGTGAAACAAACAAACAAAACCAAGGATACTTTTTTAGAAAAAAAAAAAAAAAAGAGAAAAAAGGAGTTTTCATAGTGACAGGAAAAAAAAAACCTGGCTTCTATTCTGTACCGTCAGGTTTCATTTCATTGAGTCAGGGTGTCCTTCATTAAAAACAAATGGTGCTTGATTCTAATGTGCCAAAAATCTGTTCTTCTCCCTGCCCTCTCCCCTCCATCTTTCTGGAATCAAACGAGGGAAAAGTGTCCTTGCTGTTCCTCACGGCAGGTGAACAGCACCTGTGTTCTGATGGATTGTGCGGGCCGCCTTCCCTGGCCCCATGGAAGTTAGGGCCGGAGCCTGGAAGGGGACACCGTAGGAGTGACCTTTCACTAATCACTGCACTTCAGTGACTACTGGCATAGCTCATTATACAGAGAAATCCTTTATGAGCCAGATTTCAAATCCAGCCCTACTTTGATTTTCTCGAGAACAAAGATCATACTTGCACATAAAAGCTTCTGATGTATACTTCTGTCAACTGGGGTACCAAAGTAAAAAAAAAAAAAAAAAGCACCCTGTTAATTGTCTATGGTTATCAGGGGACCGCAAACTGTATCAAAGATAGGCCTGCAATCTTGGCTTTCATTATGGAGGTCAGAATATTTATTGACTGCTTCTTATTAAAATTTTAGAAGGACGTCAATCATTTTGGCTGCCCTGGATAGAAGGAATCTTATTGGAAATTCCCCAGCAATCAATCCCATTAAAAAACAAAAGCAGCAGACAACTCTGGAGGATATGATGGAGGGCTTCGCAGCCCCTCCGGCTCCCACAGTTCGAGAAGCCCGAGGTGGGAAAGCAGCCCCCCAGCAGCGGACTCTAACTGTAACACCCGTGTCCGAAGGCGAACACGGCTGCTCGTTGCTCTCTGTTCTTCGTTTTTCCTGCTTGTTTTCTTGGCCCTCTGAAGCCACCCAAGTTCAGACAACAGCACGGTCCAAAGCAAAGGCATGTGTCATGACTTACCAGCCATCTGCTGAATGCCACTGAACGCACCCAGGTTGCTGGAGGAGGTGGCTTGCTGCAGAAGCTGCAAAGGGAGGGAAAAGCGGACTGTCAGACCAAAGTGGAGACAGGACCAGGCAGCTTCCGAACCAGGGGTGGGGGGGGGGAGGGGCGTCCAGCTTCCTGTACATTTATACAGTCGCTTGCTGCTTCCTATTCATGGGCCGAAGGTTCCCACAGTTGGGGCTGTAAATCCATATTAATGTCTAATCTCTATTAAGAAACACAGACACCGGGAAAACTCAGTAACACTGCTGCCTTAAAACAATCAATTTAGTCTTTTTAACAACCAGGCGTTACACCTATTGAAACCAACACGGTGTGACTCACGCGGGCCCTCTGTAGCCTAGCGGTTACCACAGCTCAGCTCTGTCAATTAAGGCCCACCCCTCGGTCCAACGGCTCAGCGGCCTTCATCCTCCACGGGAAGCACCTGGATTCATGGACTCTTGGGCCAACGGAGACATCACTACGGTAACTACAGACACACACATACCTATGCACAGCCACACAGGTATGCCTGTGACCACAGACCAAGACAACGGTCACCCATTGGAAGCTGGTCTTCACTGGCAGAGGGGAACATACAATTTGTCAGGATTTAGAAGTATCTGGTGTGATGTACAATGACACTGCGTTACAGGTATGTCAGCATCTTTTAAAAAAAAAAAAGGTTAACGCCCCTGTCTCTGCGTTTTTCCCTGGCGCTTTCAAAACCACATCTTACCCCCCAAATCAGTGGGTACCACAAGGTAAAGCAAGTGGTTACTGTTGTAAAGTGCTGAATTCAGCTGAATGATAGGTTAACTTAGGTGCTATACTGTTAACCTAGGTTTACTGATACCCTCTTTTTGATAAGGTAGATCAATGCAGGCTTCGTCTGGATGTAGGAGCACATAGTTATCTCCTATGCACAAATGTACGCAGGTACCAAAAAGGCACAGATTCACCAAAGTTATTATTGAGAAATGTTATGAGACTATGTGCTTAGGAGAAACAAGACCCATTTGTGATTTTTTTAAAATAGCTTTCAGAATTTAGTTGGAGCACTGCAGAACCACATGGAGAGTCATTCCTCTGGGCAAGGGTAGGTTTTTTTTTTTTCAGTTCAATACCAAGCAAAGTCTACAACTTGGACAGGACTCAGAAATGGGCATCTATCCACTGACTTAAAAGCATGAGGTGGAATGGAATCTCAGTGGCTGATTCAACCTGAGTCTCAGTTACAATGATATTATGGGGATTAACAGTGACTGGTACCAGAAGAATGTGATGTTTACTCATCCCTCCTGACTCGCTGAAATGCACTGCCGAGGTATTACACACAGACTCAGACACGCACACGAGGAACAGTGAGGAAAAAGGAGAAGCTAGGGATTAACCATTCCGACAGAGAGAAATCCCTTCCTTTGGTTTGATGTCGTGGGTTTCCCATTCTCTTGTGGTTACAAGCCCTTACTCCCTCTCCTACTATGTATGCTTAAAAATTAAAGCGAAGTAAAATTAAATTAGCTTTGCAGCTCTTTTGAGGAATTAATACTACCTAATGGGGTATCTGGAAATACGTGCAGTGTCCTTAAACTATTACCCAGGACTCTATCCACTGATAACCATTCTCTGGTGGGCTGGAGTCAGAATCTACCCCTCAGCCCACAAGTAGGGAATGCCTTAAAGGCTCTTCCAAAGAAATGGGCTTCCAACTGAAAGGGGCAGAACAAATATGGCCGAGAAAGAATGGGAGCCCACGGTAGGAGCAAACATGACTAAGATCATAGAAAAATATGTTTTTATAAACGAGGTTGAGTTGAACTCTGAATTCTTTATCCAGGGCACAGAAATAATTTGCAGATGCAGTCAAAGAAACATGTGCCAGAGATTTTTGTCCTCTGTGAGCCATGGGAGAGGTGCCAGAAAACTGGGGACAGGCGCAGGTGTCTCGGTTTTTAGAAACGATGGAGCAGGAAGCTGGATTCTTAGAAATTATGAAAAGGTGAGCCTGACATCAATCTCTGATCCCAATTCTGATATCCATAAACAGATGGCTTGTGAAAAACTGAAAAGCACAAGTTTGGGAAAAACAACTGACTGTTAAGCTAGACTCATTTCTTGTTTCACAAAAGCTTAGACTGAGAGACCAAGAAAACGCTATGGCAAAGCAAATACAGATTTTTAGCAGGACCTCTGATGAAATCGCTCATGATGTCTTTGTGGATATGACTGAGAAATGGCTATGAGGTGACGGTAGAGTCAGTCAATGTCTTTATTAAAGGCTCAGCTGAAGATGGGAGAAGCGGGTGCCTCCTTCATGAAGCAAATGTGTACCGAGTAGGTAGTACAGCCAAACCCCACTGGGCACGGGCCCCGGTGGGTAAAGGGAGGAAAATGAGCCAGAGCAGAGGGCTGAAATCCCGCCCGACAGACGGCTAGTGGCTCGGTCTTGGTGCAGTTGCGTAACCTCTCGGAGCCTCTTTCCTCCCCTATACGGGCAGGCTCTTCTTACTATTCAAGGTCAGAGGGAGGACAAACTGCGCAGGCTCTGCTACAGAGTAAGCCTAACGGATCCCGCAGTCCCAGAGGGACAGTTAAAATGTCAGGTGACAGAATTAGGAGAGAACACACACGCATGCACGCACGTACACACGGGCACACCCCGAGAGGCTAGGACACCAGGCCCAAACTTGCGATATGAAACCATAGTAATCAATGTGAAGTCCAGCCTGTAGGTGCCAAAGCAGAGAAATGGGGTAGACCACCAGGATTTAGCAGTGGTTCATGTAAAAATAAATAAAAAGCTGGACCCGTGTTAGCTGCCTTCTGCCTCACGCGTGAGTGACATGGTTAGCACGAGGACCCCTCTCAGGCCACGCAAAGATATTTTAAAGTCCACACTAGGGGTCACTGCCCTGTGCACTGTTTAAATTTTACCAGGGGAACTGACTTACATTCTGGTCACTGGATTTTACTAAAGACATCGACGGAGATGGGGTAGGGTAGCACAAGGAATAACAGGAACATGAAAGTTTAAAACAATGTAATGTAAAGGAATGGTTGAAAGAACTGGGTTTATTTGCCCTGCAATAGGATCTCATTTTCGGGTTCCGAATAGATGGGAGAAACGTCTGATTTCGTCAGCGCGGTTCTGCAGGGAAGGGCCCGGACCACCGAGTGGAGGGGCCCATGGGGCTTCGCGGGGAAACCTCCATGGGACGTGCTAACCTCTGGGGCCACACCTGCCTCGGGGTTGCTGAATCACTGTCAAGCGCGCTGCGTCCCTTCTCATGCAAGATGTTATGAGGTCTCTGAAACACACCGGTTAGCAATTTAGCCTCGTGGGACTCGGCTCAGCCTTCATCTGGCCAGAATGAAATGAGTCATGTCCTCACGCTACTCAGGTTACCTTGGAAAAATTTTCTGCATCAACGCTGATTTCAATAATTTCCTGAGATTCAAAATGCCCCCACATGGAATTCTTTCGAGAACTTGGTGGGGGGGGGGCGAGGCGGTTTCGGGAGGCACAGCGGGGACGGCCCCCCTCTGCCCTCTCGGCGCCCAGGCGCTGGCGGGTCCCGCACTTACCGCCAGGTACTGCGGGGTGAGTCCGCCCAGGCCCGTCAGGTTCCCCCAGGTGGCAGTGTTGAGCTGCTGCATCTGCTGTGCCAGCTGCTGCTGGAGGCGACGTTGCTCCTTGTCCTTCTGAGTATCCGCGAACTTCACTACGATGGGTGAGGAGCAGCCCTGTGGTCAGACACAGCGGAAAGTGAAGAGGGGGTTACCGCCTGGCTGAATCCTCTCACGACACTCAGCCCTGGGGCTAGCTCTCTCATCTCAACTATCTAGGAGCACACGGAACCGTCTGAACGGTTTTTTTTTTTTTTTTTTAACCGTCTGATACTCCTTCTTCTTCTCTGACCAGTACCATCAAGAGAAACTTCCAGACACTGTCACTGGTTTCTCTGGGGATCTGGTGGTCGGTGAAGCCATTTGCTTTCTTGCTCTGGTTATTAAACTGCCTCTCCTCCTCTCTTCGCGTGTCTTCCTCCAACCTTTCCAGGACCTCCTCAGAGACAAGAGACCTTATCATCGTTCTTTAATTGGGCTTCCTGGTGCGCTTGTCTGCAAGATAGACTTGTCTGTGTGTCTGCCTGTTTCCGCACGTGAGCAGGGGACAGAGGAGGAGAGAAGCTTCGATGGGAAGGAAAACGTCCCTCGTTCATGTATTTATTTTTTCACTCTTCCCAACTGTCAGTGCTGCGTTTTTGAACTTTGGAATGCGGGAGTCCTCCCGACCCAGCACTGCAGATAGGGAGACGAGGGTTTTGTTTTAGGAACGCGGATGAGGGCAGGACAGGTTCTGAGAACACAGGCATGGCCCAGGGTAACTGTCCGTGTTTTCAGAGAGGTCTCTCTTCCTTCTCTGATGGACCTACTCTGTCCACCCTGCTCAGGGACCCTGCAAGCCACCAGGCTTGGAAGCATATTCTAGTGAAAGGAGCTGTTTCTGAAATGGCAGGAGGCGTCTACTTGGCTTCTCTCGTCAACGGATCTCACCATTCTAGGTGCTTCTTTTCAGTTTTCATTCCCTTTAAAAGGCAGTGAGTGAGTGCATGGCCAAATGTTATAAAATAGGACGAATTCATGTCTGAGATGGATAAAATCATTAGGGAAAATAAGGGCCTGCACCTCCAGCATGAAGACTTCCCTCCCTGAACCCCTCTGGAACATTCTTCACTCAGTCAACACTCAGCAGAGACATAGGCTCCTCCCTCCCTACCCTTCTCTTTCTTCCTATGGCTTGCCTACACACCTCATCACCATTAAAGCTGTTAAATTTTGCTGAGGTAAAAAGAAGTCATTCTACCTAGGTGATTAAAAAAAAAAAAACCTTTCACTGAAACTCAGCATGATAATAGACCTCTCTCTCTCTCCTCTCAGAAATTTTATATTCCGACTTAAATGAGCTCGCTCTCTCTCTCTTTCCCTTACCTTCGGGTCATTTTTCTTTCTCCTAGAAAACAAACCTGCGTGTGTTTTGTGTTTTATCACCTTGGGTAGTTACTGGGGATGGAGCTGTGAATATGTGAGGCTACCGTGTCCGTTATTACCCAAAATAAAAAAAAATATGAGAAAATCGAGGTGGCAGTTTCAGTTTGAACTTCCAGCGTACTGGTCTTCAGCTCATAGCCACGGCCACAGGACAGAATGTTAAATGTCAGTCAACCGCATGAAAATAATATTTCCACCACTTAAAAAATCTATACTTCATTTTTCTTCTCTTCGTTGCTTTAAAGAGAGCAAAATACTCCGAAGATGGAAACTATAGAGAGGGAGGGTTTTGTATGGAAAGGGTTGTTACTGTTGTATCAAATTTGTTCCATAACAAATCATAGCATCTCCTCCTAAGAGTACATTTAGTATTTTTTTCTTCCTTAAATACCAAAAAAAAAAAAAAAAAAGAAAAAAGAGATAAAGAAGCAAAAAATTAGGCCCAAAATAGCTTGTTTAAACCAGAAAAAGGAAAAACGGGATGGGCGTAGATTGGAGGAAAGTTGAAAAATAGAAGGTACAATATAAAAATTATTTTAAAGAACATGTTCTTTTAAACTTTAACCTTCAAATCATTTTGAATTCAAATTTCTTAGATAATACATCTTGGTTAAAGATGTGAGCCAGAGTCCTGAAAATAACAAAATTAGTTAAAAAAAAAAATCCAACAAACTTCGGTTGTACAACTAGAATGTGATTGGCATACTATATACAGTCTTCCATTTAAATGTCAGTATTTTTTAAATTCAACAAGAAATTTCAGTGTCTGAGGGCCCCTCTGTCTGAGCATGGGTGTCCAGATTTTAAAAACAGGTGCACCAAATTTGATTTTTTTAATAATAGAGATCTCTATAGCAATTTCTATAGCAATTCTCTTATAGCAAATTCTCTATAGCAAATTCTTTTCATTCTGAGCCTAGTCTTCTTTGGTTCTGGCTCACAGCCAGGTCTGCACTACGTTCCTGAGCTCTCTCCCTGTAGGAGCTCAGGAGAACACAGACCAGCATCCTCTGCAGCTTTACTCAGGGGGGCACTGATGGAGGAACTGGGGTTAGAGCTGAAAGAATTTAGGTTAAAAAAATCATCTAAGGTACAAATCACTAAATTACAAGAAATAAAAAGGATTAAGAATGAAGCACATGTATGGAAGATAATAAATACAGGTGAAAACTTTTTTTTTCTTCCCTAACCGTACTTTCATTTTTATCTCCAACCTGAAAGATAGCTGGGATTTAGACTGATCCCCAATAATGGAGCAGCCGGAGAGAAAGTGGGGACAAGCACAGCATCAGGGTGTGACTGCATGTCGCACAAGACTGCATCCCTAGGTATTTCAAATCCTGCTAATTATCTCCTATTGTGGCCGATTTTCACCTGAGCTTGCCTTCAGGTAGGGGGGTGTGAGTGTCTTAAAAATGCATTGCACTGAAAGGAAAACACAGTGATTATATAAGATATGTTAGGAATATCAAAGTCAAAATGAAGCTCGAAAAAGACAATAGGCTTTGCAATGCTGATATCAAAACTCAGAAAAATACAGTAAACACTTAATGACAAGGCCATGCACACTCCTTTCCCCCCTTGTCCACCCACCTTCCGCCTCACTGTAAAAAAAGTTGCCCACAAAACATGACGCAGAATGATCACTTAGCTCCCAGCATGCTTTGGGAGATGCAGCATTGCAAAAAACAAACAAAACAAACAAATAAAAAAAAAATAAAACCCCCCAAAAAACGGAGGTAAAAAAAAAAAAAAGCGCAAACGATCCATAAAGAAATTTTTGCACATTAAATAAAATTGAAAATATTTTGCTTTTCAGAAGATGAAAACGTAACTTCAGGTAACACCACAGGGCCACCTCCAGAAAAGCTCACCCATACACAGATATACAGAGTACAGAACATGCACTCCCAGATGATTCTACCAGACAATACAGAGTAACAGCATATCACTCTTGGAATGCTTTTGTGCAAAATTCTGAAAGGCCAGACCCAAATCACAGACTAGAAGTACAGAGCCATCTATCTACGTGTGTGGGCGAAACACCCACATCAACGTATCGATCTTCCCCCAAAGCCAATATCTCTCATTAGGAGACCAAATTTGAGCCTTTATGTTTCTTTTATCGTGCATTTTTTGGGTAAAAAGACAAATCTAATTTTTCAAGGGAGTCTCATACATTAACATTTTCACTGGTTAAACAGTGTAGGAGAAGTATTAATTGTCTCCCAACATTCTTGATGCAAAAACACAATTCTGTTTGACTAAAGAGAACTTGACCCCACATTTAAAAAAAGAAAAAAAAAAAAGAACAGAAAAAAAGAAAAAGGCAAAAAAAGAACCCTGTGACTGGCACAGGGCAGGCTGCAATTTGGAAGGAAGCCTGTCAAGGTTGACTCCATACCAACCCTGGACCAGGAATGGACTGGATCCTTTAGAGGTCGAGAAGGAGTCTTGGTTCAAATTGCATCATGATGTTACGTTGCAGGGCCTGAGGCCAATGCAATAAAAGGCTCAAAAAAATAATGTACAGCACGTGGAAGGTTTTACTAAATGCATTTCAAGTCATTAGGGGAAAAATTCAGAGAAAGAGAGACAGCGAGAGTGAGAGAGCGAGAGAGAGGATGAATATGAATGAATGGAAGAGATGGTGAAAGTGTCCATCTGTGATTGTCATGTGAACAATCCGCACAGGAGAGATCTGCTTTCCCATTCCCCATCATTTGCACAAAGAAAACAAAGAAAGGGCAGATGATACAGTACCTCCATGGTCTGAGACTGATGCATGGCTTTGATTGCATTCTGTGCCATTGCCCTTGTAGAAAATGTGACAAACGCACAGCCTGTGGGAAACAAGGGGACAGGGAGCAGGAAAGACAAAAAACAACAAGACAAAAGGGTTGGACGCTTGTTAAACCAACACAGTCTACGAGAACTGCCACAGGACGCCACTGTTCTCAGTAGTACATAAAAATCAACAACTTCTCTTGGTTTTATCTTAGTTTGCTTTTTATTCACAGTGCTGACTTGCTAATCTGACCAAAGCAGAAAGATTTATTTATTGACTAGTTTATTTTTTAAAATGGAGACGAGGGGAAAGTGTTGGGCACTTTTTTTTTTTTTTTAAAGCCACGGGGGGGGGGGGGTTGAAATTAGCAAGATCTAGTTTGCATTTTCTAAAATAAAAAGTAGCTATTTTACATTTTTCTCCTTGGCTGATCATCTTTACTTAGAGCATCCACACATTCGGGCTTTTGGATTTCAAATTCTAGCGTTGATTTTTAAGCAGCAAATAATAAAATCCTCACACCAAGGGCAAATTAGCAAATAAATGCCAAAGGCTCAAAATGTCAGCAAATAAATACATCTCATCTCTTCTGGATAGTTAAAACATATATATGTATACGTATACATTGATGCGATTCCAATGCAGAGAAATATACCCCATCCTGCAGGAACTGTTTGGTAATTATTAATTACGAACAAAAACAAATGCTCTGTTACTCTGAGAATAGTCAATAGTGCACACAAGGTGAAACTTTAAAATCTGCGTTGGATTTCTTAGTTGTAGAAAATCTTTATGACTTTCCCAAGTTGTGGTTTCGGGTATGCATCAGAGATCTGACCTAAAGTCTAACACCCACAAGACAATGTACAGTTCTCTGAATGTTTCCTGTGAGACCCATTGAACTTTCCATGGCTCTTTATTTCTCGTGCTATAAACTAACCAGAATCCACACTGCCTGCTCCAGCTCCTGGTGGCAGGTGCCGGCCACCGTGCAGGTCACCGCTCCAACGACATGGCTCGTTGCCCTTTTCGCTAATAAAAACACTGCCTTCTGAAATTTACATTTTATTCATCGTGCACCCTTGGGCTTCTTAGAGAAAAAGACTGTGAAATTAATGCAGATTCAGGCTGATTTTATAATAATACCACAGCACACTAAAAGCTTAGCTAAAGCAACGCAGACTTATTTCACTTATGATCTCTAATGACTTTAAAAGTGCATTGATTTTCAGCTTCTTTAGCTCTGCACAGTTTGAACTTAGGTATCAGAGAATAATTTAGTGTTCCACTCAATTTCTTCAAAACATTATTATTATTACTACTTAAAAGATTTCCAAATGAAGCAGATCTAAACACTGAGAGGCGGAAGCCTGTTGTCATCTCCAAGTGAATGCGTGAAAGTGGGATTCTGGCGTGATTACTGCCCCTGTGGCCAGTAAGCCAAACAGAATGTTCTACATCCAAAAAAAAAAAAAAAAAAAAAAAAAAAAACCAGAAACCAAAAAACAAAACAAAACAAAAACACAAAACCAAAAACCAGCAGATTGTTTGGTTTATGTAAATCAATTTGTGAGCCATAAAATATATTTTCTTCTTTTGCTCTGCATGTGTACCTGGTGAGATTATCAAGTCAATACTGTATTAGCACCTTTTAATCAAACAGCAATAAGAGAAAGCAACACCTGCCCATTATTCCCAAAGCACAAAAACATCCAGTCATGAAAATAAGTCAATGCATTTTTTTTTTTGCATCATGCTGTAATTTTTAATACAACAAAACTCTCTCAGTACATGGGAGAGTCATCTCTCATTGACCTCCCAGTTCAGCTGGCCTTACGAAGCCTGAGGTCTAGCTTGCTATGAATGCCGAGCTGTTTCATATACTTCTCTGACATTATAGCAGCTAGTGAAGCTTACTATTTAAACACATTGTCTGCACCTCCACTGGCTGTAGCTTCTGTCATCAGTGAAAGCGATCTGGAGCCTTCTCTGAGGCATCTAGAAGATGTGTGTAATAGTGTGAGACAGATGACAGTACGTCTATGGGCTTCCATATCGCGGACTCAGCTCTATAATTCAAGAGCCCCAAAGTTACCATCCATCTTAAAATAATACCCCTTCAAAAACATTGTGATTATCATCGACATTATTAACAGAGGAGATAATGCTAAGATTCTTCTTCTTCCATATCTTGAGACCACAGTGGAATTATTTGCTTTTGCAAATAATCTAATGGAGATATATTTGACATCACGTGAAACCTGGCCTAACTCTGCTTTTAATAGTCAAGAAGATTGTTTCATTCACTTTATTTGCTCTTATTATCCAGGAACATGTGCCAAACTGACAGTTTCCAAATGGAGGTTAAGAATGCATTAAAAAAAATGTAAAAATGTGAACAGAAATCAATAAGGCACAGTTTATGCATTTACCACAATTTCAGAACAAGCAGAATTTTTTAAGCAACTTAGAAAGATATAGCAATTAGGAGGTCTCAGAAGTATTAGCAATAGAACAATAAAATTCCATCCCTATAAACTTGAACCATTGCTCTTTCCTCTCTGAAACCTGCAATTAAAAGCTCGACTGATACTTCTACTAATTATATAACTCTTACTGCATCCAAAAAAATGATCTGACAAATCTGATGACTCCTTTAACCTTTTTACTCTATTGGCAGCGGTGCAGTAAGAGAGAACCTGTCTCCTCAGGGGCTTCAAGTTCGGGACTGTGTGCTGTGTTCAATTACTTAAGAGGGAAAATTACTGTCGTTTGTAAAGTGAGAGCGTATGTTGAAAATTCCCCTCTCTCTGCCATTTTGGATGAAGTTCTGCAACTTCAGAACCCAATGTTTCATGGCTCGGTAGCTTGTTAACCTTTGTAATTTCTGCTCTAGTAGTCCTATGGCTAGATTTTAATTTTCTTTTCCATGGCACTGAAACCACGGTGGTGGCTTTAGGATTAGGCCTCAAAATCTGTGGCTTTTCACTAATATAGGGTCCTATAAGCTTCTTCCATCAAGACTGGCTGTCAGCTGCTTCTACAAGCCAAGGAACTGACTTCCCATTGGACAAAAATAACTTAGGTCAACTGGCCCCTTCTACTAAAGATGAGCTTCTGGGTGCAGTGGAGTCCTTTGAGTCTTGAAAGGATAACTGCTCTGACCTTGTAGAGTCAGCCCTCTGCTGTTCGAGAATGTCTCAGGGTCAGCCCTCCTCTGTTCTACATTAGTGGGGGTACTGTCTCAGGAGTCAGTTCTCTGGCTACTGACTAAAATGCAGGAGAAACCAGAATGGGGGAAAAGATCACATGTACCAAGATAATGAAGCTTTGTTGTTGTTGTTGTTAGGTGAGACAGCCTGTATATTATTGTCTTAAAGCCTCTCCAAATACATAATAGCTGAAAAAAGTAAAGAAAAATTCCGTCCTTAACTGCGGCCAACCTGTAATTTACCTTACAATTATTTATTGTCTCTACCTCCAGAATGTCAGAGATTGCTCACAGAAATGAAAGGAACCGAACTCCTCCCAGTTCGGTGCGGTTGCCTTCTTGCTGCTAAAACAGATAAATGATTGACTGGGGAAAGGTTTCTCCAAGTAATTTCCTCCCACAGACAGGATCTAAGGAAGGCACGTGGCCCTGTCACAGAGAAGATTCTGGAACACATCTGTTACACTTGTCATCTCAACTGAAAAGCTCTCTTCACTCAGGTGTTCTACCTTTTCTCTCAGCTGCAGGAGAATTTTGAGAGAACTAGATGAATTCTTGGTCTGCACCAGAAATAAAGGAAGCGAGGGAGAGAAGGAAGGAAGAACGGAGGAAGGCAGGCACTTTTAAAAGCACGTACGATGCCAGGGCCTCTTGCTTTTCTGCCTCTTCTTTGAAAGAGAAGCAGCAGTCTGCTCTATTTCAACTGAGGGAAGTGTAATTTAAAATAACTTGTGCGGCATGAAGGAGCTTTCGGTCTATGGAAGACTTGTTTATAAATTCCTGTGTGGCCAAAGAAAGTTCTTAATGCAGCCAGTTCTCCTCGTTGTATCTTTTTAGCAGTGGCAGAGGTTATTAAACATATGCTATCAGTCTAACATGAGAGCATCCAAACTAATACTCGAATGCACCATCCCCAGTGCTGGGTTAGTTTATTTAGAACTGGTGTGGAGAGACAGGCTCGTTTATCCACCTGAGGCTGAGTGTAGAGCAGAACTGACTGGTTTGCAAAAAACCTCACCCCTGAGAGGAGGTTCAGAGACTGCACTCAGAATGAGATGACAAACTACACATGATAACCCAGGGGTATTTGATACGAGATTCCACAGATGCTTGGATACTAGGTGGGCACGCCTAAGACGTCTTGATCAAAACCAAGTCTGCTCTGTGTACATGTTTTAAAAGTCAAAAGCCCTGTCCTAACATTCTGATCAGATATAACGGAAACAAATGAGGATTTAATGGCTAAATCCAAGCTGTGCTTGCCAACATCCCTGAGAATATTGCCAATTTCATCTGTCAAGGGTTTTGGCAGGAGAATGTTGGAACACCATAAACACAGCTGGAATATTCTTAAACAAGCAGAAAGTTACCTTACATGGCAGTGAAGATGTGACTACACTTTATGGGGAAAGAAAAATGAGATAAACTCTTTCACTGTCTCCCAAGTTACAGATAATCATTGCCATGGTGCAGACAACCTGTAGCCTGTACCCAAGTAGTCCATTCTGACTGTGGGATTATGGGTAAGGGAGAACGTGTATTTTAGGAAATCAACAGGTGGAGGGGACACTGACAGATAAATGCCTTGGCTGAGAAGACTCCAGCTTTGATTTTGAGAGCAAACGTCCCATTTGACTTCCCATGCACGGACTCGTGGTATGCTGCTTGCTTTTTCGAAGAAGGTTCATTCAGCAGGCCTGGGAGGCTGACCTGCTACTGCAGAAGGATCTGAGTTAATATGAAGGCGCTCGAAAGCATCTCAAACCAGGTTTTCCAAATTAGAAAAGATGGAAGAACGGGTTACTGCCCCCAGAGAGGAAAATGCACGTTTAGATGCGGGCATAGTGCGTAAAGAGAATCAGGCGCTTGTTATTTGCTGAGTGTGGTTTCAACGTGCTTGGTAGATGCTAGGTGCTGTCCGTGGATAGCCATGAAAATTCGGGGGGGGGGCGGGGTGGGGTCCGATCTGGAACATGGCGCAAATCTGATGGGACTTTACAAATGGTCTTTCTTGCCAATATGGAGATGATGACTTTTGTTTTAAAGATGGTGATTCTAAGCCAAAGTCCAGAGCTGTGGGTCCTGGCAGCCCACTACTCCGCATCAGTGGGGGACCCTGATCTTACAAGCCTGGAGAAGCCTCAGCTTCGTACCCTGCAGGGAGGCAGAGAAGCTACAGGGGTGGCAGAGAAGGCATGACAGGAGAGGCCTGTGGCGGGAGCCAGCGCCCCTAACTGCCTCTTTTGTCTTCATTCTTGTAGCGGAACTGGGCAAAAGCGAAGCCAGAGACGTGGACCACTTTTCTGTACCTCTCCCTCATGATCAAACGGTTTGAGTTAAAAACTTTTTTTCTGACTAGTTTATATTCGGTTTAGGATTAGAAGGTGCTTTTCAGAGCAGCCAATCTTTCCTTTCACTTAATTTTTATTTATTTATTTGTGTCTTAAACAGCTGAGCCAGCACCAGGCATGGAGACTAGAAATGCTGAGCACCCTTTATCTGCAGAGCCACTAATGGGAGACACTTATTAATATTTGATTGAAAACTGCAATTCTTTAATAAAAGCAAAATAGTAGCACGAAAGACAATTGTTCTTTTAACAAATACACTGATTCAGGAGCTGTCCCCTGTACCCAGGAGTCCCTGGTTCTCACTAATTGAAAAACCTACCGCTGTCTGGCTTTATATTTCAGAACAAATGCTTATAAATTAGTATTTCCTTTTTTTGCTGTAGGGAATTCTCATCAGTTCACCAGAAATTACTTTTCTGTGAAGAAAAAGAAGAAAAAGAAGAAGAAGAAGAAAAAAGAAGAAGAAAGAGGAAAGAAGAAAGAAGAAGAAAAAAAAGGCGGGGAGGAGTATTCTACTCTTTACACTGAGCCAGCATCTGCATAAAATACGGATGAGAGTGCTCCCGGAACTTGTCTCAAATCGGCTGCTCCTGGTGTCCAGTGCTGGCTCATCAACCACACGGCAGATCAAATTAGCCAAGCTCTCTTGTCAAGTACTGCGTCCTGCTCTTTCCTGCGAAAGCTGGGGCGGCTTGAAAATCTTATCTGCGGAAGTAACTCACGGAGGCTCAAGGAGCTCTAGACACTGCGGGCACCAACGCTATTCATTACCGTCTCCGCCAGACAGACGGAGAAAAGTGCCAGGTGGACGCGGTCCCGTAGAGGGAGAGCAGAAGCCGAGGTCTCTCCTAAGCTGCGTGGATGGCACGCTTTTGCAGGAAATCCACCACATGCGCTGGGGGGTGAGCGGGCAGCTGTGGTGACTGCTGCCCTTTACAAAGGGGTAAACTGAGGCACAGAGCTAAGGACAAGGAACTACGGTTGCGGTTCACGTCAGAAGTTCTGGGACTGGATTTCGGGGTCACTGGCCTCTGGGCCACTATAAATTTCACTACGATTAATTTAAGGGCCTTCCTTTCTGTTCTTTCTTCTCACCGTGTACCCTGGCGAACGGGAAACCGCTAAGACGGAAGCGTGAGAATAAGAAGCGGAGAGAAGGGCGGTTCGGATTGCTACACTGGCAGCGGGACAGGGGCTGTGGAAATAGGATCACGTGTTTCCTCCCCGTTTTCTTCTTCGTCTAGCCACCCTGCCTCTTCCTGCAGGGTTCTCTCCCCCACCCCGGGCCGGTCGGCCTGAGCGGGTGCGTACCTATCAGGACTGCCAGCAGAGTCAGACGACCCCACGTGGCTGGAAGGCTCTCGGGGGTGGGCGTGCCGAGGGACTGCACGACGGTCCCGGCACCCTCCTCTCCCCCTGAGGCTGCGCGCTCCCGGGCCCAGGGCTGCCGTGGGCGGGGCCGATAGCAGCGTGGGCGGGGCCGGTAGCAGCGTGGGCGGGCAGCTCCGGCTCCGCCCCGGGCACTGTGTCTGCGCACCGTCCGCGCGTCATCGGCGCGTCCGCGCCTGCGCGTCAGCGTCCCGCTCGGCGCCCACTCATGCGGCTGTCAGAGACGCCTGTGTTTGCAGTGAGGCCGACGGACAGCCTTCGCAACTATCGGGGAACGCTCCAGCTGTCCCTCCCTTGCCTCCTTCCTTTTAAAACCACCTTCGGAAGAAGACCCGGGCGCTGCAGGCGGGAAGCTGTTGGCCTCCTACGGGTCCCCTGGACTCGACTCCCTCCTGTGCGGGGCTCTGCAGGTGGGTGTAGGCGGGAAACTTTTGTTCTCTGTGCCTTCCGTTCTAGCAGCTGGCATCGTGAAGTTTCATGTCTCGGAGCCAAAGGAACAAGAGTTCTTTCTGACATGGTGCTGCATTCAGCTAAAATGAGGGAGATGGGGGAAAATTCGTGCTTGGGGACTTAAGGCCCAGGCTTTTCTTTCAGCATGTGGTCAGAGACTGGGAATGAAAAGTTTCTAATTAGCCCCGTGGAAGCTGCGTCGGTAAGTACATTAATAGAATGAGATCCTCTCTGTGTTGCAAACATATGGATTTCTTAGAAGCAGCAGAAAATACGTTTTATATATACACTCTGACTCCAGCCTCCTGGGCTGTCTCGGGAAACACAGTCTGACGGGGGTGAACGCTCAGTGACAGCGCTTAGGAGTGGTTTAGGGAAGGCTCTGTGTGACGCTGTCCAAGGAGAGGCAAACATGGAAAGCGAACACTTATTTCCAGCTACCGTGGATAGCTGCTTGTAAAAATACTGGTTTTTGTCAGTGCTTGAAGCCACCATCTCTGCTTCTGTCGTGGTGACAGAGAGGAGCCTATAATCTTCTGGACCAAGTCATCTCTCTGCCACTTAACGGACTTCCTGCGCTCAGGCCTCCCGGAGTTTTGTTCTTTAAAATAAAACCCTCACAGCCCAGGACAGGCCCAGTGCTTCTGAGTGCCTGCCTACCTGCTCTGCGCTACATGGGAGCACTGCCGATTTTCCTTGGTTTCTATCGCTCTCAAGAGGCCCATCCCCCTTCACGTTTCTCTCGGGCAGAGGCAGGAAGCCAGAGACTAAGATGAAAACAACCCATATTCTCTTTCCTCCTCCACATCTCTCCCTCGCCCCCAAAAAACATACTTCAATCTGAGACTGAAAGAGGTGTATTAACGACAGGGCAGCCTGTCAGCTTCCCGCTGGCTGGGATAGCCTGAGCTAATACGCTGCCTTCAAAACCTTCTTGACCTGAGAAATACAAGGCGATCACTTCCGCTACGGTGAAAAGTTCATGGTGGATAACTTGATCACACGGGACACGTTACAGGGTAACCTCTCACTGTGTGCGGTGGCTACGTCTACCTTGATTGTGACACAGAGTTCCAATTAGCACTTAAGGGAAGAGACTTTATAGACGGCACACTCACCTCGACTCAGCCCGTCGGGTCCCCGGAGAATCCGGCATTCTTCTATCTGGCCAAATGGAGAAAACATCACCCTGATATCATTCTCATTACATTTCTTCGAAACCATTCCTATGAACAATTTTCGGTCTTCCACAGCTAGGAGATAAAAATAATGAATGAGCAAAGGCCATTTTTATCCCTTTTCTTGTAATCAGTGCTTCATTACCACTCAAGCTAGGGGCCCCCAGTCATGTGAGAGGAAGCAGCGCCCCAAGGCCAGCTCTTCCGACTTCCATGCCCCGCTCCCCAGCTCTGCTCTCCCACCCAGGCCTTCCCAGACACTGCCTTCCTCTGTGAGCTCGTGCGTACCCCTACGACACCTTAAGAGGACAGGAAACCAACAAAGTCCTCCCCCACTTCCCACCCTGTTTGGAGACTCACAGTGCTTACTAATATGTTAAAGCTCCATACGGTTGCCAAATGCTACTGTGACATAGAGATATTTTGGAATACGCCTTTGAATTTTTTTGTAGGTGTTCTTTTAACTTGAATGAGAAAGAAAAAGGGTCAGGGAAAGAAAAATGGGACGAACAGAGGAAGTGCGATCGGAAACAGAACTTTTAATAGGGCGGCTCGTTGGAGAAAACCTTCTCCCCCAATTTCAAATAGCTTTGCCCCATGGATCCAGACAGTAAGAAGAGATAAGGGAGACGCTCGTCTCTCTGGAGAGCCAGTAAATAACCTGTCTGTCCATCTGTCTGTCACACTGGCTATGCAGCTCTAACCTGGACAAGGCATGGTCTGCATCTGCAACTGAAGAGCAAGCCAACTCTAGGGAGGGAACGGGGCTGTGGCTACTTGAGAAGCCCATCAGGACGGCCCCAGGCTCCGGCTGGAGCCCTTAACAGACAACCCCACGCCCATTCTAACCTTGGGAGACTGCCAGGAGGGAAAGACTGGGCGAGGTTTACCTCTGATGACCTGGGAGATTTTCCTCAAAATCCACAAGCTTGCACTCAGGATAAGTGGCCTACATTTAGCCTCAAAGGCTCAATTATCACTGATTTCAGGACAGTGTTTGCAGCCTTTTTTTAGGAAAGAAAAAAAAAAAAAGAAAAAAACCCGTTCTAGACGTCCATGGGGAAGAGTCTTGCTTACTTCCTGTGTTGCATTTTAATGCATTTCTTAGGACTGGGAGCAAGGGCAGCTGGAGGCAGGAGCACCGGAGGCAGGCTGGCTTAGGGCCCTGCCGTCCACCGCTGTGTTCATAGCTTCCTGTGTCTGTATCATCATCTCACCCTTGCTCTTCAACTGGCTTTTATCTCTGTCTCCCTTATTCTTGCCCTGGACAGTCAGTGTCTCGTTTTCATTTAAACAACAAGAATGTATTTTAGGCTTTCTAGGGCCAGGTGCTCTTGGTGCCTGAGTGGAACTGGCCTGGACACTGCCGCCCCCCCGTCCCCCCCTCCCCCCGGCCCACCGGGGCCCGGGAGAGATCTGTGCGGGAAGCAGGGATGGGACACAGGGGAGGTTTGCTCTGAAGCCACATCCGTCCATGAGGGGAACCCTTCTGTCTGTGGTGTCCACTGCAGTAGCTAAAGCCATGTGTGGCTCCTGAGCACTCGAACTGTGACCAGTGTGACTGAGAAACTGAATTGTTATTGTGATTCAATTGTAGTAATTTAAATTTAAAAAGCCACAGGTGACATTCTAGCGGACAGTGCAGTTCTTTCTGAGAGGCCTGAGTGGGGGGAGCTAAGTGCTCCTTCCCGTAGAGCCCAGACTGGAAGTGAGAGACTTGAAAGACGTTTTGTCTCACTCTAAAAGACACCCCCCCACCCCGTGGGGCAGGGAGGGAACTTGCCTGGGGTCATTCAGCAAGGAGGGGGCCTAACCTGGACAACACCTGCTGGCCCACTCCTGGCTCCAGTCCTGTCCCCCGTGGTGCCGTTTCCTACGAGGGCAGAGGAGGGAAAGGAGGCCTCCGGGGAAGGGCAGGGCCAGGTCAGGAGACTTGCCTGGTCCCAGCCCTGCCATCGAGTTGATGTGCGACCTTGGGGAGTGAGAAAACTTCTGGGGACCTTGCTCTTATCATCCATAAAATGAGTTTCAACTCTTCTCTTTCCTTGCTTTCTTAAGGAACAGAGAGAAGTGGGGCGGAGGGGGGCAGAAACGCTGAAGCCCAGAATCCCACCCACTAGCTGCGCTCTGCACTCCGGCAGCTCCCGAGATAGTGCAGAGAAACTCGGGCTCTGGGGACCATCGGAAGCCACGATGCCACAGCACCATGAGCTGCCGATTGTGTGCCAAGAGCTTGAGAAAGGCATGTAAGCTGGCCTTTAAGGAGCACAGGGAGAGACTGGTAGAAGCATGGGGGCCTCACAAGGTATAAGGAAAGGAACACCCTGTCCTGGGTGTAATTGCTACCCAGCAATGGGTACGTCACAGTGGACATGGGCAATGGCGTCACTGGCTCTGAGTCGTAGGGGGAAGCTGGTGAGGACCTGCCTTCATCCCTGAGATAACAAGCTTACATTTAAGAAGCTCTTTTCTTTCCCATCAGAGCAGGTGAGCTACCAGTGATCTATGGGTTAGTGGTGGGAGTAGCATCTGTTCTCACCAACAGTGGGGTCACCAGGATGACATGATGGCCCAGGGGGAACACGGCATCCCCCCGATGGGAAGGAACGGACTGAAGTGCCGCAGAGCAGGGAGCGGCCAACTTCTGGTCGCAGTTGTAACCTCCTCCCCGCCCCCCTTCTCTAGGACCTCTACCTGAGGAAGCTGTGGCCAATTATCTTCCTGAGAGTAAAAAAAAAAAAAAAAATCCTATTGAATTTCTTCTTATTCTGAAGGATCCCGTTTTAGTTCTTTCAAACAAAAGCAAATGATAAATTCCCAGTGAGCCCTTGGTTTCACTGGGAAACCTATCATGATGGCATGGAGCTGAAACACTGCAGGTTTGGAGCTCCAGGGTGATGCAGGCGTAAGCTAAATGTGCAGCTCCCGAATAAGCTAAAGAATGATTTTTCCTAAGAGGCATAGTAAGAACTGGAAACAACCGGTCAACAAACCCTGGCTTCCGAGGCATCCCGCTGGCTAAACCCGGGCAGGGAGATGGAAGAGAACGCTCTTTTCAATGCTAAGTAGTAGCTAAGGAAATATAACGGAAACCTACACCTCCCAGATGCTTTCCGAAATGCCGATGTCCTCCCGTGCGCGCGCCCCATCCGGGAAGCTGGATGTTTGCAATCCTTCGCTAGCCCTAGTACCTCCGTGGTTCTAACGGCTGGGGTGGCGCGTGCTTCAAGGGCAAACGGGGAGAACTACTCACTCCCCGCTTTCTTCCCCCTCGAGTTTTCCCAGTGAAAATATATTTGTAAAACTTATTCCTGGGATTCCCAGTCTGAGGATCCCTAAACAGCTTTGTCAGCATTTTAAATAAACATAATTATCCTGCAGTCACTGAACTTTCCATCAATTTTTGATGAATTTCTTGGTGGGGTTTTTTTCCTCAGTGTCCATAGGCAGGCAGCGGCTCACTTAGGTTTTCAATCCACGGGACTGTGGATTGCTTCAACAAACCTACTGTGTTTACAGTATCCTGTTAAGTGCTTTACGGAAATTAAAAAAAAAAAAAAGGAAGGAAAGAAAAGTCTACTCTCCTTCAGGATAACAGATGAATGAGCTAGGGGCGATACTTTTTTACACCGAGTGCTGTGCTGGTGGGGCGACCCCATCACTCATTACGACAGGACCGGAAGCTATTCCAAAACCAGGGACCATTTCAAGCTCTCCTCCCGTGGCATGAGAACGGGTTAATATTTTAAGTTTTAAGTGGGGACTTTTTTAAGTTCGAGGAATAGAAACTTCGTTTTTGAAAAATCCCTAATTGTAAGTCTGTGTGAACACCCTGGTGTACAATCTGTCAAAGTCACACCTGGATTCAGGGCGGCCTGAATTAATTAACAACTTTTCAATGTGTTAGTGCTAACATATGGCATTTAATTACTGCCTCCAAATCCGTGAGTCTCTCCACTTTGAATTTCAAAATTATTTCTTCCTCCTCCAGTACATTGGAAAGTGACCGGATGGGGATGCCCTGTGATTCCCATCTTTACTGGAGGCTTGCAAACCTGCAACCTCCCCGACCACGTTCTGTCATTTTGACCCTGTGAGCTCTGAACTCAATGCACGGACACCAGGGGTTTCGGAGGCCTTGAGAAAAGAGAAAGGGCTTACTTGGCATTTCTGGATGTGAGGCTCTAAGGAGCCCTGAGACAAGTTGTGAGGTTGGAGGATTCAAGCAGGATGCATTTATGCTGTCTACAGAGTAAAACAAAACAAAAACACCAACCCTCTCAACCAGGAGCACGACATGAGTGAACACTGGCTGGTCACTGAGACCCCCAGCACAGAACCAAAGGCAACCTCTATGCTTTTCTTATCACTTACTGCTAGATAAACTTCAGATCAGGCAACTGCATTTACTTTTCAATCTTGCACAGGTGGTATACCTTTTCCTGCATAGCAAACAAAGCTGGAAAGGAGGCCCTCCCATGGTATGCAGAATGAAAGGCAGTAACTATGTGCTAGGGTATGCTGCAATCCAGAATCCACACCTCTGCAGTCAAGCCTCTTCCCCTGCCATTACTCAACTGTACGCAGTGGAAGAATGGTAAGACAACTTGGAGTCTGTGAAATTTGGGTATTTATTCGGTGTGTTCTTCTTAAAGACCCCAGTATTTTATTGCTGATCCAGAACGGGATGTTTTTTTGAACACCTGGCACAGTTAGAAGTAAAATGCTCTGAGTTTGCAGAAATATGCTAGAGGCTGCAGCTTAAATCAGAGCCAATTAAGAGGGCAGGCTCTAGGAGGCCTGGAGATCTGGAAAGCCTGTGTAGGAAAATACTGAAGGGCAGGGCAGATCCAAGAGCAACCTAGTGTGTTTGGGCTTGCCACGGTGGTTCCCTTTGTCAGAATCTCTAGATGGACGAAGGCTTCAAAGAGTGATTGCTTTGTGGAATTCATTTGTCCATCACTAATTAATCAGTGATTAGCAGCCCTTGCTCAGCAAATACAAAATTTCCGAAAGCCGAACATACTGATAATGAAGATGGTTACTGTCTAACTGTGATGAGTCCTTTGTGCTATCCATAAATGTCAGCAAACCCAATACAGGTGCAATTAGAGCTCGTTACCTCTCTTTCACAACTCCAGGAGCTACTGAGAGCATCTGAACCAAAGAAATCTTTGTGCTCTAGGAGCTTTGGAAACCATGCTTACCTGTCAAAATTGCCATGTGAAATCAGAAAGGACTTGCGCCTTTTATCACTTGCTTTCGAAAATGATACATCGCTCCTGATTCCTCAGCCAGGTCCGAGGAGAACCCTGAGGCCTGTTCCGTCTCTCAAGGTGAGGCACAGACTTTGCACCTCCATAAGGAAAAATGCCTTAAAAGGAGCTTTCAGTCCACTTACACTTTTTGACTCCCCCCACCGCCCGCCCCGCCCAGCCCGGGAAACTCAAGAAAGTGAAGGTCAATCTATAAAGCAAAGGAAGAACTGGCTCAGCGAGAAGGTGTGTGGAGGTGGTTTTTCCTGCATGTGTCCGGAGCCGTGCTTTGGTAGGAGCAGCAGCCTCGGCTGCCCACAAAGCATACCACCACCGCCTCACCACCCACAAGCGCGCCGATGACTTAGCAGAGCGAATAATCACTAAGTGCCGGGCATTAGGCCAAGTTCTTTGTAGATGTTAACTTATGTACTCCTCAAAGCACCCCGTAAGGTGGGCGTCACAAGAAGAATTCCGACTGCGGACCACCGAGCGCCCCCTCTCACAGCCGGGGATATGGGGGCTGGGTGAGGTTACAGAACCTGCCCAAGGACCCAGCCAACACCTGCACGGTCAGTCAGGGGTCAAGTCTGGGCTCCTTGACATAGCTTTCACCGGCTACCCTGAGTTGCTTCCTGAACAACGGCATTTTTAGGTATCTTTGCATCTTAGTAATAACAGTGTCTAATCCTGCTTGGCTTCTGAGATCATGCAAAACAGTTGGCTGAGAGCGGTTCTACTCTGTTGCTGCCGTTCTAGACCCAGAGCAAACATCAGCCTCGGAGTCCAGAGGTGACAGTAGAAGCAAGGGCGACCAACCAGTTGAGACCTCCAGGTGGCTAGCCTGTAGAACGGGTTCTCTAAGTCAGGCGTTGTGTCCACACAGCGGCAAAGCTAAAGAAGAAACCCTTTCATGGTCCAGCTACTTGGGTATTCCAGGGCAAACATCTCCAGAGGAATTATCTAATTCATTCTGTTTTTATAACAGTGACCCAAGGTTCAGAAATAAGACCACGCCTCCTTCACGGCCCTTGTCCTGACCCAGGCTAGAGAATTAAGAGTCCAAAGACAGGGAGCATCTCTTAGGGGCCAGGAGCTCCCAGATGACGTCACGGACAGGGTTCATCCTCCGAATACACAACTCCTCTCTCCCATGAGGAACAGGACAGACTGTAAATGTGTATTTCTGGAGCAAAAAGGCTCAGGAGTCAGCATGGGCACCTGGCCTTTCACCTGTAGACACTCTCAGTGCAGAGCCCTATGAGGCCGGAGAGAAATCCGGGAGGTAACAATAACCCACATTTTAGAGAAGTGGTGCTCTATCATTTGCAAACACTGTTGTATCTTATGTGAGTCTAGAAAAAAAAAAAAAGAAAAAAGCCTATCTATGGAGGTAGTGACCATGACTCCCATTTCATGAATGAGGAGATCCAAGTTCGGTTGTTAAGTGACCGCTAGATCAGTAGACTCAACGTCAGTAAGTGCCATGGGGTCAGGGCAGTGTCTCTTAGTCCTTTCCCTTATTCTGCTTCAGACTCAGGGCCGAAGCCCAGCCCCTAGCAACAGGCCCCACCCACAGTAAGTCATCGTGAGGTAACTGCTAAATAAAGGGGTGAAGTCACCTGATGGGGGTCCTGCAGGAAAGCAGGGTGAGGTTTTGGACCATCTGATGCTGGATGCTGCCTTTGCGGTATGTGGTACGGGAAGAAGGGAACAGACTCTCAGACAGGGGTGCAGTGGTGGAGGAGATGGGGGGGAGAGGAGGTAAGCGCCCAAGTCTACTCCCTGACGGATCAATCAGGTGCTGGTGGCACCACGCTCTCACTTGGAATTTTCTTCAAAACTTCCTAGTCTGTGAAGAAGCCAGAAAATGGGATGCACTACAATTAGCAAAAAATGCCTTGTGGAGAGATTTAGACCCCAATCATAATTTACATTTGCAGATATGCAGATCTCTGAGTGCATGGCTTCTGCCCTGATTACTAATTAATGAGCTGCAGACCTGCCTGTGGAAGCAAACAGTGCTGATTATGTCAGTCTTGGGGGACGGAGATGCGCCGAGGCCTGAGAAGGTAGAAGATTCCTTTAACATACATTTCAGTGAATTCAAAGAACAAAATGGGACAGAAGGCGGGTGTAAACGGAAGCAGAAAGTTAGGAGAGAGAAATGTGGCTACCGGCCCTCCCGCATCTTGGAGAGGTAAATCTCGATGATTTCACAGACATCATCCCATGCATATTTTAGTACTGAGCATCCGTTTATGTAATCAGCTGGCTGAATTCTGAATGAATTTGGATGCAGATGCATCGGTACAACCATAGAGGAACACACCAAAGGAAGAGAAAAGACAAGCAGGATTCTTGGTGGGTGAGCCCTTTCCCGCTCATCTGCTTTGCACACCCTGAGGTCCTTCCTCTCCATCAGGTGTCCTGGGATGCTTGCTCTGTGGGAGGGCATCAACAAGAGGCAAAGGCCACAGACTTACCACACAGAGCAAGCCCCGAACAGAGGGACACGGAAAACCATTTCTTGCAATGTCTTCAACAGATCTTTACACCAGAGACGTACCCCCCACTTTTCCCAGAGCAGGAAGCACGTGGGGCCGGCTCCTCCCTCCCCCGTCTGACTCCTTCATTGAAAGAAACAGACAGTATTACATGAGACACAGTTGGTCACCACCTACCGTTTGACTTTTCACTATCTGCAGGTTTCATCTGAATGGGATGATGCATCTAAAAATACAAAAGTGAGAAAGTAAAGGCAGATTGAACAACTGTATGAACAGTCTCAGAAACCCCACACTATTAAACTTGAGTCCTCAAACTGTTATAAGGACACATCACTAATAACAGGATCTCTCCCCGTCAAAAGTAACCCCATGAAAATGCAAGCCTGTGGTGACGTTCAGGAATAGAACCCCTTTTGAGTCACTGGGCCCTGTGACACAGGATTGGGCTTTGCGGTCGGACCTGAGTTTGAAACCTGGTTCTGCCACTCAGTATAGTTTCTGCCCATATCTTATAGGCAGTTCTGGCTCTGCCATTCATCATTGCCACATGATTTGGGGCAAGCGTCCTAACTTCTCTGAGCTTCAGTTTCCTTATCTGTGCAACGGAGGTAACACCTGCACGGCAGGAATGAAATGAGCAAAGGCATATAGAGGGGGTGCCGTGGACAGGGCACAGGACATGCGGGGAAAAATGAACTACTGTTATTCTGTAGTATATTACACATTGAAATGCAGATTGTCTTTGTTTTTCTTCCGGCCATGCTCTCTGCTGCAGGGATTTTTCTTAGACCTCACAATTATGAGTAATTTGAAGGTCTAGCAGTTGATTGATTTAGGCGCTATTGTGTAATTTTTCTCAAATACAAAGTATGACAGAGGAATGCAGAGCTACTAAAGGGATGGAGAAGGGAGGGGAGGGAGGAGGGAGGGCAGGAGGCACGGATCTGACGATCAGGTTCGCTTGGTAGGTGTGCAGGAGTGGGAGGAACCTGAGACAGAGTGGCGCCAAGGTCCTGAATCGCGGTGCCCCTGGGTGCTCTCTGGCTCTTTACACAATGCCCATCTCACCCCCGTGCATGATCCACAGAGTTTACTCCAAGTGCAGAACACTACCACCATTTCCAATTAAAATAAATTCCTCCAACCACTTTCAAAGGTCTTCTCGCTTTATATTTCATCATACCCCAAGGAACCTCAGAGCCACAGTGTAGATGCAATCACTGGCCGTGCAAATGCTTTTATTATAATGGGTCCCATTCTCTCTGAACCTTTAATTCCCCCAGTGGACTTCCATCACTTGCAAGCCCCAGCTCTGGGTTTTATCTAATTTAAAGGAAAGGGGAATGGTACTTGGCTCTGGCACTTAAATGATGGAAAATTATCATCAGGCAGTTAGGGCCATGTGTAGCTAATGCCTGGCAGGGTCTTCAAAACACAAGGGGAACGGGAAAGAGGGAGTACTATCAGGGGACGAGAGGCTAAATAATTCAGGGCTGCTTCGTTTATTCTAAAAGGCAAGATGCTCTTATGCATAGAACAGAGGCCTTTACATGTGGGGTCTACTCGGATTCCCACTCTATTAACATATTCAATTTGTGGAGGAGAGACCAGAATGAGAATGGAATGTTCAGGGGTCGGTAAGTAGACCAGTCTTTTCAGAAAAGACTGGAATTTATCCTGAAAAAGCAGACAGAAGTAAAATGTGGAAAGTCCTGGTTTGGGCTGGGTAAGGTGGGCTCTATGCTACAGCTAACGCTTGGGGAAGACAGGCTGAGTCCCTGCGTGGCTACCCTTCTAGCATGCCTTTATCCATCCATTCAGCAAAGATGGGTGAAGTACCCACTGTGTCTCAGGCTTTAGGCCAGGAACTGGGGAACAAGGCCCAATAAAGAATTTCAGGCCCTTCGGGTGCTCAGTGTGTATGGGGGAGGCTGATGTGTCAACAGCCCCAGGAGCAACCTGGGAAGTGCTTTGCTAGACAGAAGAACAAGGGGGTGCAGGAGCTCAAGGGAGGAGGCACTTCATTCTGCCTGGGGAGGAAAGTGAAGGCTTCTTAGCAAAGGGGACATGTGATTCGAGTCCTAAAGGTCAAGTTGGACTTGCTGGCTGAAGAGGGGGAAATGGCATCTGAAACCAAGAGAATATCCTGTGCAAGGCACAATGGTGAGAAAAAGCATACTTCCTCCTAGCAAGGAGGCCAATATGTCTGTGGGGAAGGGCGCAAGGAGGAGATGCAAAGGCGGTTGGCACCTGGGTCTTAGAGGATCCTGTGTACTAAGGAACTGAGATTGTGTCTAAAAGTCAAGTCAGGCATAGAAGATTCAGGTAGCAAGGGCAACAAGGTCAAATCTAAATTCCAGAAAAGTCCTTTCTGGCTACGATGTGGTGGATAAATTGGGACGGGGGGGGGCAGCTAAGAGGCTACTGCGGACATCCGTGTGAAATTGATGAAGGTCTAAACCTCAGAGGCAACTGGCTGGTTGTGGGGATGAGGGGGAGTGAGAACCATCACGGGAGCATGGCCCAAAGAGGGGAAACATGAGAAAAGTAGTTTTGGGGGAGACTGATTAGTGCAGGTCTGGCCACGCCACACTCGATGCGACTGGGGCTGGAGAGAAGTTGGGTGCCACAGAGCACCCAGGCTGTAGTGACGGCTCTGGGGCCGTGGGCATGGGTGAAACTGTCCAGGAGGGAATGTACAGTCAAAAGAACCAAGAGCCAAGGACTATCAAGAGAACCACAGAGAATATCAGGAAAGAGGAACTGAAGAGGGTTTGAGCAGGAATAACTGGTTCCGCAGGAGCCCCGCGGGAGAGCCTTCAGAATAAGGTGGTGGTCAGATCATGCTACGATGGAAATGCCCAAGGATCCCTTTGGATATGACAATATGATCTTCTTCTGGGAACTGATCAAAAGCAGTCTCTGTGGGGCGGTGGGGCCAGAATGCCACACTGCACGGAGCTGGGGAGTAATAGGGAGGAGAGCAGCAGGAGATACGAGAACTGTACACGACTATCTCAAGAAGATTCGCTCAGTGGAGTCTGAGGCAGAGGATGCGGACATGGCATCTTTCTTTTCCAGAGAGCAAAGACAACAGGCCAACGTGCTGAAAAGGCTCAGATGAGAGTCACAGGTTGAGGCAAGGAGAGAGGAGGTGAGCGTACCTACACTATGTACAGGACACAAAAATGAATGAAGAGGACTCTTGCCCTCAGCCAGCTTCCCATCCCTCATGGCAGCTGATGTGCACAAAGAGAAAGAAGAACAAACGGTGGCAAACATCAGAAAAGGGGCCCAGACAGAGTGCTACGGGCGTTCAGCCGGCATTCAGAGGCATTCACCTCTGATGTGCATGGAGGTCTGGGGCAGCAGCTCTGGGAGCTTCTGCAAGAACAGAAATCGTTCTGCTCTAAAGCTGTCAAGGGCCTGGGGAGCATTCAGCCCCAATGCTCTTCATTTATACGGCTGAAGGGAACCGTGACTTCACTAAGGACATGCACAGCTAATGACAGAGTTGCGATCAAATATCTTAGCTCTCTCCATTTCATTCAGGGCCGATTACCCCCAGATCACACTGCTTCTCTACTAAATGCCCAACATGGGACTTGGACGCACGAGCCTACGATGAAGGACCGCAGGCCCCACCCACTGAAGGTGCCGCCTTCAGTACCCCACCAGGCGGAAGTCACCTTCCCTCCTCTGACCTCCCTGAACACTTCATCTACGCACTTTATGATGAGTATTACTCCAAGACTTGACTCTTGGTTTTCCTGCAGCTGCCGAGAGAGTCAGCTCCGTTTCTGACCTGAGACTGCCCCGAAGGCTCTGGAATGTAAGATCAGTAGTAAGAACATGGCCACTGCCACTGCAGACTTGAACTTTGCTCTGGTCCTCCCCTGGCCCCGAGAGAGAGAGAAGGTCAACTTCACATAGTTGGACTGTCAGAGCACGGTGAATTCTGAATGGGCGGTCACCCTCCTTCAGGTATGTCATGAAGACTATGGGGATCATGTGTGTACAGCCCTGTGACCTTCCTGGAGAGGGGTGTTCAATCAGTACTGTATTAAGAATGGCTCATTATCACGAACAGTGCATTTGAGTTACAAATTTATGGGATATAAACATCAAGGAAGACGAAAAAAAAACAGTTTGGAGGAGTTGTTTTCATAATGTTGTTTCACTTCCTCAAAATTTCATTATTCCAAAGAAGTCTGGGAGATTTGTTGAGTGGAGCAAGAAAGTGACGGAAAGGAGCTGGCATTTAGTGGAAAGTTTCAAGGTGTAATGAAGGGATTCCTTTCCTACGACAGAAAATGGTTTCAAAGATCTGACACAGTCAGACTGGCACTACGCATTCGTTCACTTATTTCTTCGTTTACCAGATACCGTGTTAGCGAGATGCTGCGAACTCACGGATGGAAGAGTCTGGTCCCACTGGAGCTTATAATACAGTGGTGGCGACAGCCACATCAGTGGCACGCACACGCTGAGACACGCGGTGTGGGGACTCAGAGATGCCGGACACAGACACAGGGAGGGCGAGCCAGAGAAGGTGTCTGAGCCAGAGCAGAGTTTGAGTTCAGTCCTGAAGGAATCCTAACGCTCACCAGGATCCGAAGGGAGGACGTTTCAGAGAACACACTCTGAGGCACAGAATAAGAGAAAACCAGCCATGTTGCTACAAGAGAATGATGTGACAACCTTCTCACTAAGAGAGGAAGCAACAGAAGTCACTAAAGGTCATTCACCGAATATGAAATACCTAAAGCAGCATAACCAGGCTAAGAGTGAGGGATATGCTCAGGGAGTGGAGAATTTCAAGTAAGATGAAAACAATGCAAGTCTACTCAAGCCTGAATTAAAACTTGGAACCAGACTGGTGGCCAGCAACCCTACCCTCACCACGTCATCAAGAACGAAAGATGAAACCCAGGGTGTCCAAACCACTGCTTCTCTAGACTATGTCTGTTGCGAGGGGGGAAAATGGCTGCCCCCGTCCCCCCTCCCCTCCCCCCCGCCTTTGAGGGAAGGGCAGGGGATGGGGCCCGGAGCCCGTGTTCTGCACCTGGAGGTCCCAGCTGACAGCAGAAGACTGGACGAAGGGCCAGGGAATTTGGCAGTCATGCTTCCAATCCCCTAATGCCTCACCAGTCCTAAGGCAATCTCAGAGTCAGGCTTGAGGGTGGTTCCCTAGGGGAGGACAATCTTCAAGAATTTTTGCAGGGAGTCTCCTAAGAGACACATGCTAATGAAGTTGAATCTGCATCTCCATAAGCATACAGGGCGGGCAGTGTCCGGAAAAAAATCTTCAGGGGTCTGTACTGTCATGATCTGTCCAATGGCACCTCTGTTGGAGGAGTCTAGGAATCGTACACACACCAGCCTGTGACACCCACAGGGCGGTTTTCCCGAGGCACGGTGAAACAGCAGTGCCCAGTCTATTACTCGTGTTCAAGTCAGCTTGTCCTTGGAGCAAAGCAAGACCACGGGATTCCCTGTTGGCAGAATGCTTGTCCTGGGGATATGCCAAGATCAATCGTTTTGGAAACGGATCCTGTTCATGGCAGTAAATTTGACTTAACACATTTCATCAAGTTTGCATTTCTATGAAGAAAGCCTTCTAAATCTATTTCCTCGAAGATTTCTTTGCACATGAATTTTTCATTTTATTGTAGAACAACATTTTGCCTCCAGTTACACATTAAGGTACTGGTTAACTTCTTGGTCTCTAGCCCTGTTTCTTTTTTAAAACCAGATGAAATCTAACAAAAAGGGGAAATTTTAAGAGCTCCTTCCCTCCTGGTGGGAGGAGGGTGTGGGGGGGGATGACTGGAACTGAGCATGTTCCTTAGAAATCGGTTTAATTTCGGTGACATCTGTGTAGTAAGTGTTCCATCCCACGTACAGAAGGTGGAAACTCCCAGAGGACAGTTACTGCAGTTCACCGAGGTCCATTTCTTGGGGACCTGATCAGGCTTCCAGTGAGTTGGGGCTTCTTGAGATTAAGGGCTGAATCTTGCACCAGATCTGAGCATGGCATCAACACCACCACCACGCAGGCTGCCGTCCCAACGTGGGCACTCTCGTGGGAAGCTGTCGGTGGGCGTCGGGGCATGCCAGCCTTCCAGTATAGAGCCTCCCCCCTCTCCCCCTTTCTCCCAGCACCTCCTGAGTGAGCGGCCCTTGGCCTTCCCTCCCCTTGCCCCCCCCCAACCCCTGGTCTTCAGAACGGCAGGTCTCCTGATAGGACCTGACGCTCCTCACTCCTGAATGCATTGACCTTCGACGCATCACAGAAGTGCCTGACTGCAGCTCGTGAAAATGAACAGGACGTAATGTTGGAGCAAAGCCGTCACGCCAAGTCCGTGGGGGTCACCTCACGTACAGGGAGCTGTGCAGAGCCCCGCCCGCATCACGGGTCCTGTCATGTCACAGCGACAGGGATGGGCTGGCCCACAAAGCAGTGGCTTTCACGAGCTGTGCTCTCTGGAGTCCCCATTATACCTGAAGTCTGGCGGGATTTCGCCAAACCTCTCCGCCCCGGTCCTGTGGTGAATGAGGGGGTACCTCCGAGTTTCGACAGCCAGTGTTAACCCCGGCCTCGTCTGGGAGCTGGAGGGCCTGGGGGAAGGAGACATGGCTGGTTTCTCACACCGAGGAGAACTCGTGTTGAAACTTGTTTAACCCCAGCCATCACCCATTGATGAGTTAACCACCTTTAACACGAGATTCAATAAAACATGCCATTTCTTAACCTGAAGTGGGTTTTACAGTCACTCTTCTGCATCTCATTATTAAACCTGTCTTGACCCCTGAGGGAGCAGCCGTGATGGTACATATTATAAGCTCACTGCCCATAAAATATTTAAAGGGAGGGAAGGGGCGGGGTGGGAAAGACGTGACTTCACACGAGAGCCATGAGAAAATGACAGGACTCCAGCCCTTCAAGACCGACGGGAACTTTTCTTTCCCTCCGTAATGATGCACATACAGCTCATGCAGACCACCTCCAGCCTCACTGTACAGGACACTGTGAAATACCCAAAGCACCTGTACTTCCTGCATGTTTCTCAAAAAAGGTGGTAGAAGTGGCAAAAAGGAGTTTCAAAAGATTTGCGTTCCACTGGAACGTGCCATGCCCGCAGATCAAGGTCTGTATTGTCGAGGGGTCTTCCGTTACGGTGAGGCACCCTGAAGCCATGTCGGCTGGCCCGGCTCTCCAGGTAGGTGACTGTGGCATTTTTGGTCACAGTTCTACTAGACTCGGCATCAGGGAGGGTGGAGAGAGACCAAGGTGGCTTCCGGAATGTTGACACAGCCTTACTAAGGTCTTTAGTATGGTCAACTTGCGAAGATACCTTTAACAGAATGGCACCTCTGCAAGAAATTGGAAGACCCAAATCCGTGTGCTACATCAGCTACAACCAGCCCATAGCTAACACCTGGTAGGTGAAGTAGAGAATTCAGGCAATTTTTGTGAGTTTTTTTTTTTTAAAGATTTTATTTATTTTCAGAGAGAGCGAGAGAGCACAAATGGGGGGGCGGGGAGAAGGCAGAGGGAGAGGGAGAAGGAGGCTCCCCACTGAGCAGGGAGCCCGATGTGGGGCTCAATCCCAGGCCCCCCGGGATCATGACCTGAGCTGAAGGCAGACACTTAACTGAGCCACCCAGGTGCCCCCAATTTTTGAGATTTTTTTGTGTGTGTGAAAAACAGAGGAAATCCTTCCTTCTTGTTTTTCCTGTGCCAAACACTGTCGTAGGCTCTTTATGTGTCTAAACTGTTCCAACAACCCTGAGACAGGTATAAATGGGGAGCCAAGGAGGGTTGGGGAGCGAGAGAGCGAGGGATATGTAACCTGGTCAAGCCCGACACCAAGTCAACGGTGGAGCAGGGATTGAGACTCAGGACTGTCCCAGGCTGGAGCTTCCGTCTCTGACACTCCTCCATACTGCCCCTAGCATATATCCACACAGTTGTGCTGCAGGTGAATTTGGGGTTTCTAAGAACCAGCAAAATTACCATAACTTCCCTCTTCTACACTAAACATAAAGATTATCTAACTGTAAGTTTCTTCCCTCTTAGACTCGTATACGAGTGTGTGCAATGTGTATGTGTATACATATGGATGTATACAAGCATGTGTATTGCACATGCACATAAGAAACACTGTAAGTTAGCCTCAGAACAGGAATTACTGTGTTTCCTCCATGGAGAAGGTAGGAAAGAAAACTCAAACAGCTGTAATGATGGAGAGAAAAAACCCACAGCCTTAGAGCCACGTATGGAAAGTACTGCCCCAGCCAAGGAGCCATTTGACCGTGAAGGAGCTGTACGTCCTAATGCAGAGGTTCAGTGCTGATCCTCCCACAGTCCCTTCATCAGGCCCTCCTAAACAACACACACACGATGGAATCAGACCCTAAGATGTGTTTCATGGGCCAAGCTATCTGAAATGTTCCCCACCTACATTGAGAAGTGGACTGATGAAGACCAACCTTTACTATCACCTATTCTCAGAGAGGAAAATAATTTTGAATCCCTGACATTAACTGATCCTACATTTTGTGGTTTCCTCCCAAACTGGTAGTACAGTAAAGTACACTGGAATCTATAAATAATCAGTGTGGACCACTTTTTGTTGGCTAAGCATCATTCACACCAGAAAGCCCTGGCAGTGGGTTTCCTGTTAAGCGACTGGATTGCATGATGCCCGTCTATTTGAATATGGCTTTGGAAAGTCTGCAGAAGGTGGAGTGCGGAGCTGCCCTCTCAAGACGGGGTTCCTTGGTGGAAGCAGAGTGCCTGGGATTCATCTACACTTTGAATCCCAGGGCTATTCCACATTGCTTTTGTGTATGGCCACCAATGGAGTTAACATAAAAACTTGGCAACCAGTATTTGCTAACCTAAATTTTTACAGAAGTGATCTAAGCCAAGGAAAAAAGTGGCTTTGAACATGATGACAATAAAGAAACAAAAGTCACCTTTTCTCTTCCCACAGCAAATCATACTCAAGGAGAAAACTCAGAGTGGAAAGAACTATTTCTTCCTGATAGCCACTGACTGATACATGTGAAGTGCAGAGCGCTGAATAAAGTCATTACTATCATTATTTTAGCTAGCATAAAGGTTTCCCTGAGGTGGGGAGAAAAGGTCCCTTCAAAAGCCAGGATAACATACTGGAAGGAATGGCTTTTCTTGCTGACCTGGGAGGTATGCAGCTAGTTTCATTCAACTCCCAAATCCAGGAGAAAAACCTACAGAACCCAAATTATGTATCTACTTTTGGCCCATCGGGCTGCAGGGTAATGACACTATCTATTTACATTTCTAGTACAATCATGTGCGATACCAGAGGAGGAAAAACAAGCAGCATAACCATTCAGTCCTGGAAAATATATATATTTTTTTAAATAAAATAAGTAAAATAAAACATGGCGGGAAAATTAGATTACTCTGGGTGGAATTCTAGGAGGGAATTTGGAATCTGTTATGGTGATTAAGTCATCATTTCTGACAGATTACTCTAATTGGCTGTCAAGTAACATTCCACAACCCCATCTGTAACTCGGTGTCCTAGTCACTCAGCCTATATTACCTTCTGTACATACACCATATACACACAAGAGAAGCTACAGCCCGGCATTTATTATACTCATTAGCTGTGATTAGGTTCTGTGTTTTCATACTAAATAGTAACACAAGCTTCCATTTTGCTTTATGTGCTCTTAAAATTACAAGAAAAATGAAGAGGCTCAAAGGAGGAGGCATGGGATGTGAATGAAACAAAACTGTTACAACAAAGTGGGAGTGTGTCGCGCTTTCCCGAGCCTGGCTATTCAAGAAGGAGGTTACTCTGTTCTTAGTTTGCTTTTTCTTGGAACTATAGTGTATTACTTAGAAAGGTTAATCTCTGTCTCTCTGTAACCCTCCAGTCAAAGCTGGTACCTCATTAGCTGTTATTTCTGTAGAAGGGCTCTGCTATTATGTTTAGCAACACTATTGTGACTAGAAAGCCCTTTCTTTGATGACAGCTCAGGCCTCCCCTCCTCAGTCACTGCATCTTTGGGATATAAGAAGCATTTATCCAAGCATTTGAGATCCCAAATAAATTTGGTGAAAAGCAAAGCATAACTAGTTAACACTGTAAGACTGCACCTTGCTTTGTCTAGAATCTTGAGATCTATATATTTTAATGACAAAAAAACCGGAGGGCATAAAACAGTTCTAGAAATGAAGACAAACGGGCAGACTCACTGTAAGGAAAGGCTTGTAGGATTACAGTGCTGCGGGGACCTCCCCAAGTACCGCAGAATACCACACGAGGCTTTCGTATGACAGCTGGGAGATCACAATCACTACTGATTAATGAGCCAAAATTAAGAGAAAGGTAATAATTTGCCCTTATTACTAAATGGGAAATATACAGATATCCTTTCTAATCATGATTTCTTTTTGATTGTGGAATTGTCTTCCAAAACCAATGATGGATGCTCCAAGAGTCATTCTTCCAGATGTTACCCAGATGCTAAATTAGACATGCTGCTTAATTGAGCCATGCAAAATACACACTGAAATAATAATGCCTGGCCTGGCCATTAAGGAGTGGTTTAATGACCTGGGTAGTTCATTTATATTTCCAATACTATGACTCCACATGCCACAAACTTAGCATAATCTCATACTTTAAGACAAATGAGTCTGGTTTAAAAATAAATTGTCCTTCTGACATTAGCCTTTGCCGGTAATGGCCATGTTTGGGTTCAGCTCTCACACAGCCTTGGGATAAAGGAGAACCCAGCCTGCCAGGCTCACAGTGGCTCCTTTCTCCAACACTCCTGTTTTCAGGTCGTTCACCACTACCTTGTTCTCCCCACCCTGTGAATGGGGATGAGCTGAGCCCTGCGCTCGTGCCTGGGTCAATGTGCCTCTCCAGCTGGCCTTCACTCTGCATGGGGACGGAACCCTGCTTGTTGACCTGGCCCTTCTGTGACTGTTCACTCCCTGTGAACCCAGCCCGGAGTCCTGGCCAAGCGGGGGGCTCGCCTCCTTCCCAGGGCTCGACCCCATTACTGGCAATCCCTGGTACTGCTTCCCAGAATCCTCTCACTCAGGCGCTTTCGGCCACACCCCTGCGGCATCCCCACAGGAAATACCCTTTGGACAGCGCAACCTGCTGGCCTGCACTTGAGTTTCGGTCAGCCATTGGAAGCTTGCATGCTGGATGAGACAGCTGCTGGGTGTGTTCCCCCAGACCCTCACCTGACTGCCGCTCTGGCTTGGCCCTACATTTGTTGAGTTTTCTTCCCCTAGGAATTCTCCGTGTAGATCTCATTTCCCTGCAATTTGTTTTTCTTCTTTACTCCTATTTCCCCTGCTGCCACCTTGTTAGCGCCTGGTTCCTGCTCCCTCAGACTCCTGAAATGACCCCCTTACCTCTTCTGGTCCTTGCCTTTCAAGTGTCCCATACACCACTGCCTTTTTAATCTGCCTAAAACTCTGGTCTAGTAATTTCTGTCTCTTGCCCAAAAACTTTCCATGATCTGCCAAATTAAATTCCAGCTCTGTGGGCTTTCAAACAACTCCATGCTTTGACCCCAAATTACCTTTTCAGGCTTATTTCTCATGATTGCTCAACATTTCTCTTCAACTCTAGTCAAACTGGACAACTCCCTCTTACTGGAACTTCATCCACATGCTTATCCACAAAAAGGCACAGTGCCGCTCCTCAGGCATGAAGAGACAGTATTTCCGTTGCCAATATTACCGCTGTATATTTGTCACCTAGGAACACCTAATATGTTATTAGGTTGAATTGTGTGCAATTGCCATTTTGTAGATCATAAATAGTTGAATATTGACAACTTTATAGGCTGCAACCCTGTCTACTGCACGGCAATGAAACTGCATTATGTCCTTTTCAACGGACTCATGAGAAGCCCCCGGTGTTCAACTGATGTAGGCTCTTCCCTTTGTAAGATTTGGAGAGCTTTCCAGTAATTCATCTGCAATATTTACAAGCTGTATGAGCTCAACTAAATGTGAACTTGATGACACAAAGCAAAACCCCTCCCCATACCGACCATGGCGTCTATGGGTGTTCCACGTGCAGCATGGGGCTCCCTGCGGCCACTCTCTGCGGCTTCAACGCTGTTAAGATTAGGGATGCCTTATCCCGTAATCTCAGGTTCCCTTTCAACTTCAAGGCAAACTAAAGCCACCACAAGAATACCCTTCTATCAAGCAAATCTTTAAAACCTCTGGTTCAAAACTAACTTGGAAAACTTAAGCCAGCTATATCTTCCCTTGAACCTCTGACAGGGTACTGGCGTCTCATCAAATCCACGGAAAAGCCCCACTGAATTTCATATTCTACTGATCCTTCCCTAGCTTAGCGTCAGAGTCCTGAGTTGTTTGAGTTGCTCTGCCAGCCACGTTTATTAATTAGTGTCTAACATTTCCATCTCTGCAAGTTGCAACCTCTCATAAAAAATGCATGGTTTGATTGGCTTAGGAATGACAACTCCATTTACATCAGGCAAATAAATACGATACCTCACTCAGTAGCCTTTCTCCATTTGTTTATTTAGCTACCTCCATGGCCTTTGGGATTTATACTAAGTGAATGGAAGCAGATAACTAGTGTAATTTCCTCTCTTAATCACGTTTAGGCAAAAAATGATTATCTCTTTTTTTTTAAACAAATGAGGCTGGTTTTTAAAAAAAATTATTCCCTACTAAAAATAGATGGCAAGTTTGAAAAAAAAATGCCTTAAGGGCTATTTCATACTAGCCATGTTTAAAATGCAAATCCATTACACATCTGATATGCTTTTTAGCAACTCTATTTATTCATCTCATCTTCTACAGTAGTCCTAAACTTTGGTTGATATTTTGCCAAATGAAGATCTCTCCTCCCGTGCAGCTAATTTCTTTATGAGTTCGAATTTAATTCTACTGTCTCATTTTGATTCCTACCTTCTACTCTCATGTGTGAGATCGTTTACCAACTCTGGAAATTACTTGTTGGCCGTGCTCAGGGAAATTATGACAGTTCAATTGTTCTATAAATACCCTTGCCCTGAAGCTCAGTCTTCTGAAGATCAGATTCTGGTTTAGGCCTTCAAGTATACAGTACTGTAACCAAAATTCAGATGGCGGAGGAAAACTCAGAAAGGGGATACATTAAGAATACGGGAGACATTTTATATTAAGGAAGAAAGGCAAGAAGCCTTTGTTGACAGCACTTGATCTGCATTGGCTCATCTATTTTGATGCTTTCTTCTCTGAATGAGGTCTTGGGAAATTTGGGCTGCTTTATTTTCTCTGTAGTGGAAAGAACATCACAGTTACCAACAGAAGGTCTGGGTTTGAGTCTTGGCTCAACTTGGCCAACTCCAAGTACCTATGGTCAAGCCACTTGACCTCCTTAACCCTTGGTAAACTATTTGAAACAAGGATCATAATGGAAACCTCAATGCATGATTGTGAGGACTGAGTCAGATTATATAATAAGCTGCAGAGAAACCTAGGATTATAAGCTCTTATTTTCTTAATCCATTCAGGTGTTACAACCAGAGTAAAAAATGCATTGTGACCACATGTGTTCGTGCCTCACCAAAAATGACTGTCTTCTGGATTAAAAATGTCTGAATAATAATAATAATAATAATAAAAAAGAGTAGAGTAGGGGTCTAACCTGGCCAAAAGGATTGTAATGGAGAGCCCAAGTATCGAGACCGCTCTCCGACTTCCCTCTTGTACTCCACCAGTTTGTAAAGAACTCTTGAGATTTTTTTATATTGAGTGTCGATGAATAGAAGCTATTCCTGAGAGTTCATGTATTCAACACCCATTTGTTGAGCAGCATCTCTAATATGAGGCTGGGCTCTGAGAATGTCCTCTCTCCTTGAGGCATCTGGAGCTTACTACGGTGAGAAACAGGTAGTTGAACAACTGGGGAGAATAAGGTTCAGCAGTGACAGGCTGAATCTCAGCATCTGCCACAGCGGATTACAATGAAGGAATACTCCATTCCACCTCCACAGAAGTGGAACGACACTCGTGTGGGATCCAGTGGCTGGAATGCAGTGTGTGAACAAGAGCGTCACAGAAGCCGGAGAAAAAGTAAGGGACACAGCGTGGAGGTCGGATCTCACCCTTAAGACCACCAGGTGTGTTCATTTTTTCAGCCATAAGACACAACACAACCACGTTCACGCACTCCTGCGGCACAATGGGGGGAACGTGCAACCGCAGTGCCCTCTACTTCTACCCCATTCCCTCCCACTCAAGGGAGCACCCGGAAGATGAATGAGTGTAGTCATTATAGGGAGAACTTCGAGAATCTCTTAATCCCGTCTGTGCTTTCACTAGCTGTGGTGACAACTCATCCCGACCGATAAAGAGGGCAGAATTCCAGAGATGCTGCTAAGGGGGAATACAGGATTTCCTTGCTGATCAGAAATGGGGTACTGAGCTGGAGCGGTATGGGAAGAGGAGGGGTTGAGGATGACTTCTGGCTTTTTGTCTCGGGTGGTGTCCCCATCCACTCAGACAGGTACTACGTGAAGGGGGCCTGGGTGCTTAGTTTTACTGTTGCCTGTGGACAAACTGCATGGAACTTTCCAGTAGCAGCTGGAATCAGAGAAGTTTGATATCAAGATCAAGATTTGGGAGGCAGCAGGGCACTGGAAGCAGAGAATGAATGACGGAAATCAGAACTCATGCAGAGTGAGACCAAAGGGGTGAAAACAGAACCCTGGGGCATACATAGTTCTTGGCTTGCTATCCTCACGAGAGACAGCACGGTCCTTTTTATTGGGAGAAAGTAGGTTTTCAGTGACTTCTCTTCGCTGTGTAATGAAAGCCCCTGGAAGGCTTATGGTTTAGGATGTCTTTATAGGGTCCCTTTTGCACTCAGCCCTGCTCCACCCCAGCGTTGCAAGCTTTAGGCTTATCCAACATTCCCTTGGGCAAATCGACACCATACCTAGCCAGCCAGTGTATTTATTCTTTCATTGTTTAGAATTTTGTTAAAGTCAGAGCTAAATTTTCGTTTTCCCACTAAGGCCTTTTAAAATTACCACGGGAAATAATTAACATCGGCATTACCATAAGACTTGAAGGGCATATCATGTTCAGAGAAGAGAGTCAAGCTAAGATGCTTATGAACGCACCCGAAAAACTCCAACTACAACATCTGTCTAACCAAATGCCGTCAAAGATACTGAAGGTCATGGTCCATGGGATGCTATTTTGGGACGCAGGCACTGTGTACAGATGCCTTCGAGAGACCTGCTTCATAAGAGGTCCATGATTTGTATGCAAAGTGTTTTTCCATTTTCCTTTTCCCGTCCCTGAACGTGAGTGGCTATCTCCTGTGAGGCGAATTACACAGAAATATGACATGAGCGTGCCCTTACACACCGGCACAACACACTTCTGCTTAGCCAACATCGTCAAAGTACCTTGAGGAGGCATCACCAAAGATTGCTACAAAGACCAAAATGTCCTCACCCTTGCTCACTCCCTCCCTTTCATGCAAAGGAGATTTCATGGTTAGCCAACTGGATTGAGAGTCTAGAGCTCACTTTCACTAATGAGCCCATGTGCTGACCATGGCCGCCTCATCCTGCTGTGAGGGTTATGGACTCGTGCTTCTTGCCAAGGGTGAGGGGCTCAGCCCATGGGACTCAGGCAGAGAGTACCGATGGGAAAGCATGGTATGTCAGTCTCCAAAAATGCCTGCTTAGGAAGGAGAAGCTCCTCTGCAGCCCCAATCTATTAATTCATCTCTAATCAGAGATTAGAGATGAAACACAGAAGTGGGGAGAGCAATGTAAGGATGAAACCCGGCGTCTGCTGTACACTCCTCCCTGGTCCTTCAGTATCTCCCTTCTCAAGAGGGGAAGTCTGCTCCCCTCGTGAATCTGGCTGGGCTTGTGCTTGGACCATAAGCTGACAGCAGGCAGCACAAGGGATGTGGCCTGACTTCTGAGGTGACGTCAGAAAAGACCGATGCTGATGATGTTTTTGTCCTTGGGGCCGCACAAACTCAGCTGAGGGCTTTTCCTCACGAGCCAGTCATTTGGTTGTGATCAGCGAAATAAACACAAGGTGTTGGCTTGCCTAAGTTCCCAGGGAGGCCTGATAATTTGACTCTCCCCTCCTATATGCCTTTCCTGGGTCCCCTTTTCCGTGCTGGTCTAACACACCCTCGGCAGGTATGGCACCCCACATGCGTCCACTCATCTCTCGGCCTGGCCCCTCTTGGCTTCCTTTCCCACCTGGTTCCTCTGGTCACTTTCTGCTTCTCATTCGGTCACCCGGCTGCCACCCACACGTTGATGCCGGTCTGATAAGGCAACAGTGGGACTTAGGCACGCGCTGGCCGTGTCGGTTTGAATTTCTCTGTGTGACAAATGACCCTGGGCTTAGAGACTGCTGCCCAGGATGTCTGTTGTATTTCCAGGGATTGTGAGTAACCCGACGTGGGAAACACGTCTCCAGATGCACAAGAAGCAGGGGTGGAACCCAAGAACCCACTCCAGGGAAATCCCACAACCACTATATAGGGCAGGTGACATTCTTTGTAAGCCTCCCAAATTAACACACGTGTACAGGTTTATAAAGTACCTCCTTCTAGAAGGCAGTATATTCTACCCTAGCACTCATGGTCGTTACATTTTCTTCGTCTGCGCAAGTCTCTCAAGCTGTGGCTATGGAGAGAGACAGGGTAGTAAGGGCTTTGCTCCCCTGTAAGGACCTGCAGGGCCATGAATGGTCAAACAGCAAGGACTCTACACGCCTACGGTTTCTGCAAGGTGGGACCGCGCGGCCGAGTATTGCGGATTAACTCTGTGTGGCAGCGTTATTGTTCCTCTTGCTTTAGAATGAGCTTATTCTGGCCAGAAAACCTGCGCTTAAAATAGCACCAAGTCCATTCATCCTCTTAGAGTCTGGGGCATATTAATTCTATGTAAGTCTCACTCATGCGGGATTTTCCGGCAGGTCTTTGAGAGTCAATGGCATGGAAAAGACCCAGTTGCCCATATCCAAAGAGGCTGCTGGACAACAAAAGACCTCCTCATATGCCAGTGACCTCTCTACCTCCTTCCTGACCTGCCCCACATGGTCGGGTCACCCAGATCACTTTCGGAAGCCTGCAAGGAAATGAGGGAAGGTGGTTCGATCTCCAGCCACAAAGCAGCTCCGCCCTCTTGAGCACTGAGATGCAGAAACATACCCACACTCCTGCAGGAGGTATGCATGCATATGCAGTCAGAGCTATCTAAAACTGAACTGTGATAGAGTCCCAGGATAACCGTCCTGGTGAGCCCTGGTCCTATCGGTGCATATGCATCAAACTTTGCTATGCACACACAGCACCCGGGATAAAGGGCAAATACAGGTCCAGGGCGAGGCCCCAGAGTCAGCATATCCAACACATTCTTGATGTTTCCAGTGCTGCTGTCCCAGGGACCACACTCTGAGTAGCAAGGCTACCTGCACTCGTGGGAGGGTAACCAGCAGGTGGGAGTGCTCCCACGCATCCAAATGAGAAGAAGGAAAAAGGCTAATTACCATCACCTTACCCTTGGGGTTGATGGGTGATCATTCTCCAACAGTGGTTTCCAAAGTTGGCTGAACACTGGGATCAATTTAAAAATACCGATACAGGGCTCCCCGCCCCTGAGAGATTCTTATTTAATTTGCCTGGGGCACAGCCCAGGCATATGTAATTTCAAAAGCTCCCCAGGTGAGTCTTTGGTGCAGCCCGAGTCACTAATCACTAGAGGCAAATGGACTTAAACTTGGGACGACTTTCGCTTTTCTTCATCCCTTTGTGTAAAAATTCATCTAGTTCACCTGTCATTTTAGGTAAATGGCACGGAAGAACATTATTCCTGAGTCTTTCTCAGGGGGTGGAAAGGAGAAGAGAATCACCACGTTCGCCTCACATCGTACAGTGGTAATGCCACGGACAGGGGTCGCTTGGGTCCTGAATTTCTGATTCTTTAAGTGACGTGTTTGGTATAATCTCGTACAGAAATTGTGGGGGCGTGAGGCGTGGACAAGAGCAACAGGTTCGCACTGCTCTTCCCAATCCACCCCGCCACCTATTCTGGGCTTTTGCTTCCTTGTCTGTAACATGAGGGGTGGGCAGTACTGTCTCCAAAAACACTTTCAGCTTCCACAGTCCATGACCTATGATGAGATGGGGTCTATTTTCCTCCACACGCCCCCTCGTCTTCTGCTGACCCAGAGAACCACATTTAAGGAAACAGAAATCTACTGAAAGCAGCCCCAGGATTTCCTAGGTTTGGGACTCCTCTTTTCCTTACTGGATGATATTTAGTTCTGGTTAATGACCTCCAGGTTTTCCAACTGGGCAATGCTGACTCAGGAATGATTTGGGTAACTCAGTGATTAGGGTTCTCTAATTGATGCCCCAGTGGCACTTGTGCGTTTTGGTAGGATTTGTGATTATAGTTAATGCCCCCATGAGCTGCAGAAGAAATCTAAGATACAGCTCGTCCAAATCTAGGCTGAAGCGCCTCTCCCTATTTAAATGATAGTTGGTAAGTATTAGTGAATCATCAGATACGAAGAATGGTTAGGATTACAGGTGAAGTTAAACTGAAGTAGAGGACAGTTGTCTTTCACACCATCCTCGTATCTAGGTGGAGGAGGTCAATTATTAGCCAGAAGAGACATTCCATAATTTGTTAGGGAACTTTTCTGTAATAGTCAAAACTACTTTAATGCTCTTAAATTTGGAATGACAGTCTTCTCGTTGAAAGTGCAACCAGAGGGGGAAAACAAATTATTACTCACTGTTTTATTATTTACCTATTATTTTATTATTTTCATGAGCTCGGGTGTATAATTAAAGCCCTGGGCACAGTGCCCAAGATATAGTAAGTGCTCAGTAAACGTTAGCTATTACTATTGTTACTTGGTTAAAATTATCTAAATTCTGAAAGTCACTGAAAAATAGCCATTTAGACAAAACATTTACAAAACCAAAATTTGCTAGAAACATACTTCTGGAGTTCTAGAACTACTGTTCTTGCATTTACACCCAGCTTACAGTATATATTCAATGACAGTAATTAACTTTCTATTTCCTGAGCCATGTGACTCGAGGGCACTGGGTCCATGGTGCACTGGACCTCATGTATCACTTAGTACAAAACATCTGCACGGTTTCCTGGTACTGTATTTATATATATGCTTTTCTGAAGAAACTAAATACAGCGTGTGCGTGGGTAAGTGCACAAAGGGCAGAATTTGACCCGCGGTCACCCATCTTAACCTTCAGGGTGGAGGTGAATTTCTAGGGAACCTAGTTCCTCACTTTAATTTGGTCCTTCCGGTCCCTGATAAAGGATGGGAGCATAGGACTCGGTGGCCCTGAGATCAGAGAACTCCCGGTTTAACTCCACGAACCATAACACGGTGTCCTGGCTCCTGCTGTCACCACCAGGCCGGTGGCGGCGGCGGCGGGCACGCGACCAAGTCTCTGACACACCCACGTATCTACATTCACGGCAACAAAGCAATCGTGGCATGATGCCCAGAAGGAATTAACCAGGTAACTTGCCCTCCGCCCCCCCGCACTCAGCCTTTGGTCCTACCTTGCCTGCCGACAAAGGGGGGGGAACAGAGCAGGTGGCTGGCTGGGGACAGAGAGAGGACACCCAAGCCTCCTGGACTCGAGGGAAAGCCCCTGACCATGTCGTGGCTGTGAGTGCGGCCACGGAGGGGGCTGCGTGCAACCCCACCCGCAGCACCTGCTACTTCTTTCCTAGTGTGCTCTTCTGGGGTGCAGCATCTGGTCCCCCGTTTTCAGAAGTGGAGGATTCAGATGCTGCAGACTCAACAGTAAAATACGGGGAGGGGGCGTGATGATTGAGGGTGGCTGGAATGTCTACTTCTTTGCCAGCCCTCCTGCACGGCCACGGCCTGCCTGCTGGCTTGCTGCTTCATGCTCTGGGTGGTGAGCCACGGGGTTTGTGCCTGATCTTCTGAGATGAGCCCAGCCCCCACTCTGCCCTTCCCCTACGGATGGACACAGAGCCAAGAGATGGAGGGGAGGCCAGCTGGACGGAGCAGGGCATTAGAATGCAGATTGGGGACTGGGACCGAGAGCCTGTGGATGCAGATAAAGAAAAGGACCCTAATAACATGAATGTTAATGAGATGGTGTTGGTAAAGCTACATTCCTCTGAAGAAAGGTGTTGCATTTATAATCACTTTTGCAAAGCAGTTCCTCTTACAGGAGTGACTGCCTTTGATGGGTAGCTCCCTCTTCGAGAGCCTGGTGTGAGGAACCTTAGATCCAAGTCACAGCAAATGGGTCTCGCCGCACCCACCAATGAGGCCGGTGGTGTCAGCCTGGGCAAGAGAGCATGGCTCCGCATCTCTGGCAAAGCGGTGGCATCAGGACCGGCTCCCGGGGGAGGGCACCAGCTGCCTTCCGGGGAGGCCTGCTTAGCGAAGCACCAGGACCCAGATGCTCTGCCCCTCGGGTGAGCTCACCGTGTGACATGGCCAGCTCTAGCGGTCAAAGAGCTGAGGATACAGATTTATTTCAGGACAGCTCCCAGGGGAGCAGACACGGACGTTCCGAGGGGATCGATGGAGCGATGGCAGTACTAAGGGAGCATACTAGCCGCTGCAGGTCTCCTGAAACAGTGGGACCCAGCCGGGCCCAGGACCTGCAAGCCTCCGTGCCACCGACAGTGGCCTCCAGGGTCAGGGACTCACGGTCACCAGCTGTCTTACCCTGGACAAGTCACTCCTGAGTTTCCGTTCCTCACCAGCCAATGGGGCCATTGGCTACATGCCTTGTGGCGATGCTGTGACAATTCCAAGTAATAGAGTCACAGAGCCTCCCCATGGTGCCTGAGAAGTGGACCACCAGCACACGGTGACTTCTGCAGTGGTTTTGTTGCTGTGATGTGCCGGCCTCCCGAGTCACGCTCCCTACCCCCTAGGATATGGTGAACATCGTGCCAAACCCACTCTCAGGAGACCACGCTCCTGGGGAGTTTTAGCAACTGTGGCTTCTAATTCTAGTGCTGTCACTGCTTTGCTAGGGGAGGTCAGAGAAGTTAATCTAATCTCCCAGTGCCTCGGTGTCCTCAGTATAACAAGGTGAATGCTATCAATACATCACCTGAAATATTTTTAGAAGGGATAACAAACAACACTGGAAAGCCATCTACAAACACAGGTGACTCACTTACCCATGTTAACTGGGGACAGGAATCAAACAGATAACAGATATCCACCAATAATCCTGAAGCCTCATTAGGTTAAGTGCCCTTACTTGTCAAACCAAGGCTGTAAGCAAGGAATTAAACTGGCTTGTTAGCCCTCATCACCTCCCCCTCCTTCCCGATGGTGGGAAAATTATGAATGGTAGACTCTCGGTTGGTTCAAAACCAGAGGGGCATGGGAAGCAGAGAGATGTCCAGAGATTCTGAATGGTCCAAATTCTTCTATATAAGGTACAGTTGGCCCTTGAACAATGGGAGAGCTAGGGGCGCCATCCCCCGGTGTGGTCAAAAATCTGTGTATAACTTTTGACTCTCCAAAAACTTAACTCCAAAAGCCTAACTACTACCAATCACATAAACAGCCCATTAACATGTATTTTGTATGTTACATGTATTATATGTTGTACTCTCATAATCAAGTAAGCTGGCAAAAAAAGTGCCCTTGAGAAAATCCTAAGAGAAAACACATTTTACAGTACTGTATTTATATAAAAAAATCCACCTGTAAGTGGACCCACGCAGTTCAAACCAGTGTGGTTCAAGGTTCAACTATCTTCTGAAGTTACTAACCCACAGCTGAAGCAAGTCAAGGCATGTCCATCTGCCTGGCTCCCTACTTAGATGAACAGGCAGACAGACAGATGTACACACAGACATTCTTCCTTAAGTAGGACATTACTGTAGAGAAAGCACAGGAGAACAGTCCTGCAAGACTAGAAAGGGCTCTAAGAACCACTGAGTGCAACCAGTTTGTTTTGCAGAGGAAGAAAGGAAGCACTTTCCAGGGCGCCTCGAAGCTGGTGGGGGAGGGGACGGCAGTACTCGTGTGTGTTCTGAGTACTGGTGGGAAGTAATGACAGTCAGGAACAATACAGAGTGTAAAAGAGAACATTTGTCACCGTGTCCCTTCTCTGCAGTCTCCTGCAGGCAACGGTTTACTGTTTATGCTTTCATCTTGGTGACTTGTGGGTAGGGAGAGCAGTAATGATACGGTCCTGAGATACTGCTTTATTATAAAAACAACTTTAATAGCTTATGTCATAATACTAATGAGACTTCCTGAGCACCTGTGCACGGTGACAGTCTGCGGCTCAAATGAGCAAAGGGTACACGAAGCTTCTTTCCCTGCCCGCCTCCCAGGGGCTGGCCTGCTTGCCTTGCACTCACCGCACTGGATCTGGCCCACTGGGGGTTCTAAGGCTCCCTTTGATCCTGGCCGCTCTTCCCCCAGCTAGGCCATTCTCCACGTTGTGGTGGGTGGGGAAGAACCACACCCACCCAGGTCACATACTTTTTCATGGCCTGGAGCTTGAGGCTGAGAACTGGCCAGCCTACTTGCACTGGACACAGTCTCCTGAGCTGTGCCCACCCCACCCCGTGATAGATTCCCATGGTCTGTCTGGCACGATAGTAATATTTTCAGGGGACGAGTTCTCATGGGGACTACATAATACTCTGAAGGCATAATGTGAACTATTTTCCAACTTTATTTTTTTTTAATTTCCCCTGGGGTTGTAAGTTCAAGCCCCACATTGGGCATAGAAATAACTTAAAAATAAAATCTTTAAAAAAAATTTGAAAAAAACCTTTCCCCTTTCATTTGATTGTCATAACTCCTTCCTCTGCAGTTCCATCCAGAACTTTAATCAAATTCATGGATTCTCCCCACAATCTTCTTCTGAAATCTTATCAACCTCTAATGGAACTGGGATCTAATGAGTGAACTTAATATTCCCGAGGTAGTCTCGGGATATCAAAGAGAAATAAGTACCTCTGAAATCTAACTATTCTTTTTTTTTTTTTGCCACGTGCCATCCTATTGTGTCCTCACATGTTACCAATGGGATCGCAGTCCTGCTTCATGACACAGGGCAATTCTACACCCCCGGCCGGGCCCCTGAGCTCAGGCGTTTGCACAGATGCTCTCCGAAGCCCTCACAACAGTCTCGGTAACTAGGTATGTAGTTGAGACTATGTTGTTTGCAAAATCAAGGAAGCAAGACCTTCCACCCAAGTTCCATTATCAAATGTGGTGTAGCTGCTCCCCTTTTTAACCCTGGGCCGGCTGGGCTGCTTCGCTCGGTCATTTCCAACTTTTCACTACCAACGACCCCTCATTTTCTCCCACACACTTCCTTATATTGAGTGGGTCCTAATTTAAAAGTAACCAGGTTTTCCTTTTAGTTAATCAAAGCCATACATCACTACCTGCCAATCAAAGCTACTAAACTGAATGCCTGCCAGTCTAAAGCAGAAGAACCCTCTGCTCGGTCAGGTGGCAGGTAAAAATTTTATGGTGCGTGAACTAGACGAGTTCCAAGGGCTTTCTGTGAAGCATTAAAATGTGCTTTCCCAGACCCCTTGCGATTGGCCCACGGACTGGGAACCAGCTGGGCCCCGAGATTCTTTCAGCACCCCTGCCATGCCTGCCCAATCCCACTTGGGGCTGCTTCTTTCTGCAGCTTGAGCCCTTCTCCACGCTGGCTTGGCTCCAGGTGGGCAGGTGCACCCCCAAGGAGCTGCTCCCTACCCATACCATGATACTCACTCTCCATCACAGTCCCTCACAAGGTCATCTTAAAAAAAAAAAAAAAAAAGGTCCTTACTTTTCGTTTACCTTTCATCTGCAGAACTTAGGGTTATACTAAAAACAATGCGGGCAGCAGGGGAATAGCTTTGGGCAGGTCCTACGAGGCCAACAATTTCGGCCCAGGCCCCATCCAGCAGATGCAAATCTCAAGAACATACGCCAAATCGATGTTCCCGGTTTACACACTACACGGCACATGTGTTGGGTATGCTGGGTTGCTACCCGAGAGTTCACACCTACACAACCTGTCAAGTAGAAACAATGTCTTTGAAGCACATTTCTTCAGGGGCTCAGAAAGCTTTACATACATTATCTCATCCAGCACCTCCTCTTCTGTTAAGAAGGTGGAAGGCAGGGATTAACGCCATTAAATGGCAGTTTTCGAGTATCCTCGAGCATGCACTGAGCATTCGCCATGATCCTGACTCGAAGCAGAGACCAGCCAACAGACAAACCAACGTAAGAAGGATAGAGTTCACGAAGCCTAACGCAAGA